ATAGATAGATAGATAGAGGTAGATAGATAGGCAGATAGATAGATAGATAGGTAGATAGAGATAGATAGATAGGCAGATAGAGATAGATAGATAGATAGGTAGATAGATAGATAGAGATAGATAGATAGAGATAGATACATAGATGGATGGATGGATAGATAGATGGATAGATAGATAGATAGATAAATAGATAGATAGATAGATAGATAGATGGATAGATAGATGGATAGATAGATAGATAGATAGATAGGGAGATAGAGTGATAGGAAGAAAGAAAGAAAGAAGGAAGGAAGGAAAGAAAGAAAGATAGATCGATCGACCGATAGATAGATGGATGCACAGATAGATAGATGATATAGATATAGATAGAGAGATGGAAAGAAAGAAGGAAGGAAGGAAGGAAGGAAAGAATGAAAGAAAGACAGGTAAAAAGAAAGAAAAGAAAGAAAGAAAGAAAGAAAGAAAGGAAGGAAGGAAGGAAGGACGAAAGAAAGAAATACAGGAAGGAAGGAAGGAAGGAAGGAAGGAAGGAAGGACGAAAGAAAGAAAGAAAGAAAGAAAGAAAGATAGATAGATAGAAAGATAGATAGATAGATAGGTAGGTAGAGAGAGAGAGAGAGGGAGATGGGCAGGTAGGTAGATAGATAGACAGATAGATTAGCTTCGACAATTAGATGCCGCATAAGATCCAACAGATACCGCATATTTACTGATATGTAAACGCAGTGCATATGCAATTCTTGCATGTTGACAAGTGTGACTGTAGTACACCGTGAAACCCTTCACCTTGCAAATCTGGTGGCACTGATATTGATGTATCTATGCAGTCCTCCTGGGTCACTGACTCTATCTTGCTTCAATTTGCTTCATCTTACTTCATTTTGCTTCCTTGTCTCCCAGGGTTTAGGCCCAAAATGGCTCAAGAGTCCATGTCACCAGGTCAGTAACATCGGTCCCTCAGCCAAGACAGTTTGTTTGACCCGTGCAGGTCGTCAGGGTTTTTGTCGCGTAATTTTGCTTATTTACATGGCCTAGTGGAAAAGAATATAATAGAATGGAATAGAAAATTGGAATAGATATCTTTCGAATTGTTTTGCAAGTTTTTGCTATGCCATGGTGTTCCGCAAGGTTTGGTGGAGACTCGCAGGAAGGGCTGCTACAGCGTCTCAGCGCAGCTGCCATGGCTTTTGAGGGAACGATTGTGGTAGCCAGCAGCTTATGTACTCCGGGCGCAGGAAACTGAACATTGCATAGTTGGCATAGTTCCATTTCACATTACCCCCACCTGACGCTGACTGACATGGGTGCGATTTTGGAAAATCACGCAAAGCAATGGCATCTTGTGGTTGCTCAAAATTGAAGAATCCTACAGTATTGCAATCGTTGATCTCAAAACCATTCAAAACCTATTCGTTCAAATTCATCGTATCCCATCCTATCTCATTTATCTCATCCTCAAATGGGGTTCTGCTTGTAGAAAGAAGCCATAAATGCGGATCATGGTCAAATGATTTTTTTCCCTTGGGTTGTGTAAATGTGAGGAGGAAAATGAAGAATGATGAAATATGATAAAAGACAAAAACCAGAGGGGAAATTTTATGATACGATTGGCAGCATTGGTCCCCGTCAGTCTCATTTTCACACCAAGCAATGGACGAATGGTGATTTAATGGACTGACAGACTAACAACATTCTAACAACCCTGCAGGAGGAGCTGCACCACCACTGCTAGCCTCTGCTTTGAACCGCTTGGACACCTCCAACGAAATTTTGAAGCAGAAGGTTCGACTTGCACCGACTTGACATTGTAAATGTTGCCCTACCATATTATCATATACCCCGCTTCTGTTGCCTGATCTCTGTTTTGCTACATGCTTTTGCCAAGTTCCAGATGTCGGGTGATGCATAGGACATGCGTGACAGGAGCCGCATGCTCCTGCGCACATGGGCTGTCGAGATAAGAAATTAAAAGCAGCAGGAGTCTGTGATGAACTGCGAAGCGGCAGGCAGCCATGCTTGTGGCAGTCTTCCGTAGTGGGGGCTCCATGGCCACAGAGCTCGCTCCACTCGGCCTACAGCCGCTTTGCCAAACGAAGTTCGGGCATATGATACCTGTGTGTTCATGGTCCATCCCCCATCCTAGTCCTTCTTTGCACAGAGAGAGAGAGAGAGAGGGAGAGAGAGAGCGAGGGAGAGAGAGTGGCAGACAAATGCAGACAATGATAGGCACTCAACACTTACAATATCTTATAATATCTTTTAATATATTATTACATATTATTACATTTGATACCGAAGGCATTGATCGTTCACAGTTTCGTTATATAGAAGTAAGTACTGGTAGTGGCACATTGTTCATTTTTATGCTTGAGAAAACCAAAGGGCTGACTTGCCCTGGCTGAATGGCAAACGAAGAATTTGCACCCTTCGGGGAGGCAAGACACCCATTGACCTTTGAGTTATTTCTGGACCCGAGCCCAGACATGAAACTCCCACGTTGTTCGTTGTTTTCTGTTTGGCCTTGTAGCTGAAGGAGGCGGGAAAGATGCGCTGTCGTTTGCCAATCTAACTTGCAGACACTTTTTGCTGCAAAATCCAAGGTTTGTCAAATCCTGGGCGCCAGAAGTGGGACGAGACTCTGGCAAGACTTTCAGTGGGCATTTTGAGGCCAGATTGGAGTGACCTGGAGGTTCATAAGGAGACTTAATGAATGCAGCAGAATTGACATGACAATCAGAACAGTGGTCGGTCAGTCACTACACAGTGGCAATCTATTGCAACGTGCTGCAACAATGGCTGGTGTGGGTTTCAAATCAAAAGTTACAAGCCTAGAAGCGGGGAATGAAGAGCACAAGAGTAGCACGAGCCTGTTTCTTTGGGATCTTTTTTGCATTGGCTGAAGCTTATCCCCTCAAAATTCGAACGAGTCCTGGTAATCAGCTGCTTGTATGATGACTTGAAACAAAATGCGAAAGCATGCGGAAGCCAACCACTGTGATGTCGCGGTGAATGCACCAAAGGGGACAGCTATATTATATTTTATTATAAACACATGTAATCGAAGGAAGTTTAGAAGTCAAACTTCCGACAATATGGACACATGGTAAAGCGAAGGTAGGAAGAGTCAGATAAGAGAAGAAGAAAAAAGATCAAAAAAGATAAAGTCTCCGAAGAAAGAAAATCCAGGTTCGCGAAAAGGTAGGAAAGTCGCGAAACATGGCGTTTTTCCAATGATTTGTGGCTCCGGAGGGTCGAAAAGTAAGCTCGCTAAAGCGGCAGGTGCGGAGCCAGCTGGCCAGATGAGAGATGAAAAATTGCACGCCGTTGTGGCGCGAAGCACATTTCCAAGTCAAAAGGTGCAACGCACACCAGGTTCGGAGCACTTTGGAAGTTGAGCGGATGAAAAATTGCACGCCGTTGTGGCGCGAAGCACATTTCCAAGTCAAAATGTACAAAGCACACCAACGTCGGAGCACTTTTGGAAGTTGAGATGTTGAAAAAGTGCAGGCCGTTGTGGCGCGAAGCTCATTTCCAAGTCAAAATGTTAAAAGCGCTACATGTTCGGACCATTTTTGGACGTTCAGATGTCGTTTCGCGCGGCAGGCGCCAGGGATTGTGCACCTTGTCAAAATGTGAGTAAAACGTGAGGGTGTTGTATTTGTTTCAATAGCGTTGGCAGGCGTGGGACATTTGAAGAGGATCTGCAAAGATGCATTTTTTGCATGGCAGGCGCAATACAAGAGACATTTTCATCAGAGATGTTAGGAGGTCAGGGCGCTGATTTCCTGAGAGGGGTTGCATTCTGGTGCATCAGATCTTGAGGTTTGCAAGATGATTTTGCGTGACAGGTGCAGCACTTCGTATGACCTGGCATCACTTTTTCGTGGCAGGCGCAATATTTTAGAGACATGGGCTGGAAAAATGGGAAAACGCATTGGCACGAGGCCATCAGCTCTGCACCCAACTTGCATTTTTGAAGGAAGTCTCGCAGATTTGTTTCGTTTTTCATGTTGTCAACTTCGAAAATTGAGGAAGTCTCGCAGACTTTTGTTTTTGATGTTGTCAAGTTCAAAAATTGAGGAAATCTGGCAAAATTGCTGCGTCTTTGATGTAGTCAAAATCAAAAACTGAGGAAGTCTCGCAGAATGGCTTCGTTTTCAGGCTTGCAGATAGACAGATAGATAGATAGACAGGTACAACCACAACTAAAACTACAACTGCAACTACAACCACCACTACACTACACTACACTACACCACACCACACCACACCACACCACACCACACCACACCACACCACACCACACCACACTACACCACACTACACTATACTATATAGTGTATACACTACACTACACTATATAGTGTATACACTACACTACACCTACACCTACACTACACCTACACTACACCTACACCTACGCTACACCTACACTACAACACTACAACACTACAACACTACAACACTACACCTACACCTACACCTACACCTACACTACACCTACACCTACACCTACACACACCTACACTACACTACACTACACTACACTACACTACACTACACTACACTACACTACACTACACCTACACCTACGCTACACTACACTGCACTGCACTGCACTGCAGTGCACTGCACTACACTACACTACACTACTCTGCTCTGCCCTTCCCTACTCTACTCTACTCTACGCTACCCTACTCTACTCTACTCTTGCTCTGCTCTGCTCTGCTCTACCCTAGCCTACCCTACCCTACTCTACTCTACTGTACTCTACTCTACTCTACTCTGCTCTGCTCTACGCTACGCTATGCTATGCTTTGCTACACTACGCTACACTACGCTACACCTACACCTACACTACACTGCACTGCAGTGCACTGCACTGCACTACACTACACTACTCTACTCTACTCTGCTCTGCCCTTCCCTACTCTACTCTACTCTACTCTACGCTACGCTACTCTACGCTACGCTACGCTACCCTACTCTACTCTTGCTCTGCTCTGCTCTGCTCTACTCTGCTCTGCTCTGCTCTACTCTACTCTACTCTCCTCTCCTCTCCTCTCCTCTCCTCTCCTCTCCTCTCTACTCTACTACATCCCCGTCGCAATTTCCACACTGGAAATGGATGACTTGCGCATAGTCTAAGTGAGATCCGTAATGTACTGGAATTTGAAAATTGGAGTCAGGTTAGCCATTTTATTGTTAAGGGGTTGGTCTAAGCATTTTATTGGCCAGGGAAATCCTGATGGTTTTCAACAAATTGAACTTTAACATGTTGTCAACATGTCAAAGTTCAATTCTAATTTTATTGCAAAAAATGAGTGTTTGGAGCATTTTATTGCAGAATGGAACCAGTGCTTTTCCAGGATCTCTTTATATCGATTTTTATTGGGCATGTCATTTTAGATCAGCGAATTCTAATGAATTTTAAGCAAGTTGAAGGTTCTTTTTTGAATTCTAGGGAATTGCTCAAGGAATTTCAGGGGGCTTTAAGGAATTTCAAGGACATTTTAAGAAATTTTAAAGACTTTTAAGGAAGCTTAAAGAATCTTAGGGAATTTCAAGATTTGTTTTAAAGGAACTTTGAGGAATTTTAAGGATTGTTTAAAGGAATTTTGAGGAATTTTAAGGATTTTTGCAAGGAATTTTGAAGAATTTTAAGGGTTCTTAAGGAATTTTAAGGAAGCTTAAGGAATTTTAAGGAATATATATATATATAGTAATGTATGCTATAGAATGCTATAAAAGAAGAAAAACACTAAATATTTGGGCACCTTCACTCTAAAATACGTCTATCTAAAAAGAATTTCCTGACCCCTTTTTAAAGAGGCGTTTCTGAGGGTCTTCGAATTTGGATGAACTTGAATGCCAATTCGGCGTGAATTTGCTGGAAACGCATTTTATAGCAGAACCAGTTCTCATTGTTTTTGTGCATTTTAAAGCGGTTGGGGGGTCGTCTGTGCACGTCAAAAGTGGGTCGTTTGTGCACGTCAGACGTTGGTCGTCTGTGCACGTTACTTTTGTGTGATTTTGTCATTGTATCTCTGTAACATGATTCTTCTTGTTGCTTTTTTCTTGACATCATCACACAACTCATCACTGTGTGGTTTTTTTCCTCACATCTCTGTGTGGGGTTTTTGTTTTTAGGCTTGTATTCCGCGCCTTCTCCTCCTTCTCCTCCTGCGTTGCTCCTCCTCTCACTCAACTTCACCCAAGTTGTCTCACACAACGCATACAACTCATCTCACACAACTCCTCTCATCTCACAACTCACACAACTCATCTCACACAACTCAACTCACTCAAGAGCTGCTTTCGTGTGGCATTTGGTGGAGCTGCTTTCGTGTCCTCTCACTGAACTTCACCCAAGTTCTTTCACACAACTCATCTCACAACTCACACAACTCATCTCACAACTCACACAACTCATCTCACACAACTCCTCTCATCTCACAACTCACACAACTCATCTCACACAACTCAACTCACTCAAGAGCTGCTTTCGTGTAGCATTTGGTGGAGCTGCTTTCGTGTAGCAGGCTCAGCACTGGCTGCTGCTGGAGTTGCTTTCGTGTGGCAGAGTTTGACTTTCTGCAGGCAGCAGCACGTGGTGCTCCTGGAGCTGCTTCTGCGTGCTATGGGGACTGCCGGCGTGCGCTTGGACTCAACTCATTTCACACAACTCAACTCTTTCAATTCATCTCACACAACTGAACTCACTCAACTCATCTCACTCAGCCTTCCTCACTCAACTTCACTCAACTCATCTGACTTAACTCACGTCACCCAACTGCCACTCAACTCATCTCACTCAACTCATCTCAACTCATCTCTTTCAACTCATCTCACACAAGTCAACTCACTCAACCCATCTCCCCCCACGCAAATCACTCAACTAATAACGCTTTTGCCCCCCCGCCCCTGCCCAAGACTATGTTCAAGGTGCAGTGCTTCAGATGACAGGCGATGAAGGAGCAGTGCTTTTGTGTGGCAGAGGAACATGACCGCGTTTGTCCCCCCCCCCTCCCCTGCCAAGACTATGTTCAAGGTGCAGTGCTTCAGATGACAGGCGATGAAGGAGCAGTGCTTTTGTGTGCAGAGGAACATGAACGCGTTTGTGCCCCCCCGCCCCTGCCCAGGACTATGTTCAAGGTGCAGTGCTTCAGATGACAGGCGATCAAGGTGCAGTGCTTTTGTGTGCAGAGGAGCATGAACGCTTTTGTACCCCCCCCGCCCTGCCCAGACTATGTTCAGTGCCGTGCTTCAGATGAAAGGCGATGAAGGAGCAGTGCTTTTGTGGCAGAGGAACATGACGCTTTTGTCCCCCCCCCGCCCCTGCCCAAGACTATGTTCAAGGTGCAGTGCTTCAGCATGACAGGCGATGAAGGAGCAGTGCTTTTGTGTGCAGAGGAACATGAACGCGTTTGTGCCCCCCCGCCCCTGCCCAGGACTATGTTCAAGGTGCAGTGCTTCAGATGACAGGCGATCAAGGTGCAGTGCTTTTGTGTGCAGAGGAGCATGAACGCTTTTGTCCCCCCCCCACCACCCAACCAAACCCTAAATGGCTGAGTCAAGTAATGATTTAAGTCCATGGATCCCACCCTTGTTCCCAGCATCAATGACGCTTTTGTCCCCCCCCCAACCCCCCCAACCAAACCCTAAATGGCTGGTACCCAGCATCAATGTGCGCGGATGACCCCTCTACGTGCGCGGATGACCCGGTTTCTCTGTGCGCGGATGACTCGTTTGCAATGTGCGCAGATGACCCGCTTTCAATGTGCGCAGATGACCCGTTTACCTTTTAAAGCCTGAGGCCCTATGTACAAAAGCTAGACCGCTCTAAAACTGCTGCACATTATCACATAATGAATTGGCACCCCGATACTACTACTACTACTACAACTACAACAACAACTACTACTACAAGTACAAATGCAAAAATACTACGCTACATTACGGTATCTTAATTACACTACACTATATACACTAATCAAATCTAATTAGACTAGACTACACTAATTACACTACAACTACAGCAACTACTGCAGTACTACCACAGCTATAACTACAATTGCAACTACACTACTTTACACTACGCTAATTGCATTGCAGCGCGCTACGACTACAAATACAACTACAAGTACACTACATTTCACAACGCTACATTACACAACGCTACGCTACACTAATTGCATTACATTACGCTACAGCTACAGCTACAACTGCAACTGCCGACTAGGACTACCACTACATTACACTACACTACGCTGCACCACACGAATTACATTACATAACACTACAACTACAACTACACTATTTTTACACTACACTACACTACATTACACTATTCCACACTACACTATACCACACTACAGTACACAACATTACAGTACACTACGCTACGCTAATTACACCACACCACAGCTGCAACTGCAACTGCAACTACACTACACTCATTACACTACATTACAACTACAACTCCGCTACACTACACTGCAACTACAACCACAACTGCGCGACACCACACTACCTCCAGCAGTTGTGGTGAGGTGACCACTGCAACCATTGCAACCACTCCAAAAACACAACTCCAACCACCTTTCGGTCCATCAGTGGGTTCGCTCTGCCATCCGCGATTCACAACAGCCAACCTCTCCTATAGGTTTCCTGTTTTTGAAACTTCCGCCGCCGCCTTGTGCGGTAATGCTGTTTCAAAAAAAAATATATATGTACATATATATATATAAAATATCATATGTTTTCTTACAATATACAAATTCATATATATATATAATGTCTGTAGCGCCAGGTTACAAAGTGCTTTGTGCAGTGCATTTTCTCCGATGCGTGTTTCCTCCATGCGTCGAGGCGCTCATTGCGAGCTCTTCCCCCACAACCTGTTCTGAGTTAGGACACGTGCTGACGTTTACTTTGGCTGTGAAACTTTGCACCAAATTGCACCAGTGTAAACGCATGCGAACGAGTTGTACTATGCTTCAACCCCCCCATGTTGATCATGGAATTGCATGGCAACGCCTGGAGAAATTTTGTGGAGTACATATCGTAGTATCCCGTAATGAATGACAGGGAACTGTAAAGTCCAAAAGTAAGCTGCCATGCAATCACCACGAGAGCAATTGCGGAGGAGTAGCAAAATGTTTTGCCACAGCATAGTATGATGCATCGTGGATGACATCAATGCTATTCAATGCCCTTCTTTTTTTTCCTGTTTTTCATGTTTTTTCCCGCAGGGCAGCTTCAGCGGCTTTTTACGCAGAGACTCACTGCCTTCCGTCGGGCCTTGGCAGAGAGTGTGGGTGACGGCCGCGATTGGCCAGCCCTTTGGAAAGGAGCGGATCAAATGCTTCTGACACGGTGGACACGTGTGGACACGTGTGGACACGTGTGGACACATGTGGACACATGTGGACACTTGCTCAATTTGTTAATTCCGAAAACCTAACACTTTACAACTTATTTACAACACCTTATAACCACGCACTATTTATAATCCATGGTTCGTTCCTCATGCGTCATTGTTGCAAGTGCATGACATCAATTCTTGCTTATTGCTAGTGCAGTATGGTTAAATTTGGGGTGACTAGACTTGACATTAACGTTGCTTTTGTTGAATGTCGCGCAGTTATGCAACGACGCATATTGCATGTGTACTGGTGCGGACCGATGTGTCCATGAATGTCCACTCTATCAAAAGTGGGAGCATGCTGTCAAGAGGTGGCCGTAGCAAGCAGTGTGCACACGTGGGCACAACCTTAATTTCACATGATGTCACACAAACACACAAACAAACAAAAACACGTGGGTCTTACCATGCCTTACCCACTCTTTGGTCACCAAACAAGTCACTCTTTCAAGGAGCCTGTGGGCTCTTCTGCCCCGGCAAAGGGGTGTGTAGCTGGCTCAGCACAGCTGCAGCAAGTCTGAGAAACGTTTGCTTATGTCAAAATTCCGTGGCCAATGGCATAAAAAAAACAGTCAATACCTGTGACTGTGTGAGGGATACGCTGAACATGCCTTACTTGATCACTTGATCTGAGCAGTTTTTGGCTTGTGCTAGTTTGCACTTAGAGACCTGAAGCAAAACAGTGAGGCCCAGATTCGCTGAGCGCTCTTCAAAGATGTGTTGAGCAGAGCTGCGCGCAACTGGTGAAGGAAAGGCTAAGAGAGCTGAAGCTGGTGCTGGTCAAGCCAGGCGCCACATATTGTGAGCTTAAATAACATTAAGCAGCCAGAAAACATATGAACATATCATACATACGATTCGGTCGGTTGATATCGATTGGGTGAGCTCTCTGTTGGATCGTCGGTCTTCCAGCATCTTCCAGTACAGCGGCATCTTTGCATATGATGCACATCCAACTTTTTCGCGGCATTTGGTTGTCTTTGATTGAACATGGCGATAACTTTATAACGCTTTGCACTCCCAACAGCAGTTGTGTACCTCAGTAACCTCTATCCAAAACTGCTCAGCTAACCCAGGAAATCCTTTTCAGCATGGGGAACCTGTCTAAAATAGTCCAGACGTGCTTAATCTGTTCAGACATGTCTTAACATGTTCAATCTGCTTATATCTTAAAGATTCTTGTGGGTTCTGAGCTGTGCATCAGGAGAGCTGCCAGAAGAGGAAGTAGATGAGTCCAGGAGGGCGGAACAGCTCACTGAAATGAGAAGCAGCTTGGCAAAATTATTGAAATTTGGCAAGACACATCGAGCCAGCTTTGAGATGTTTTGAGATGCTTTGAGCCATGTTTATGTCTTTGAGATCTTCGCGCGACAAGTTCAAAGTCCTTTTGTTGCCTTCTGTCTCCGAAAATCTCCGAAACATGATGTCAGCAGCGCAATGCCAGCGAGATCCCTGGGGTGCACGCGCTGCATTTTGCACTACCCTGACTCTAGCCAACATGAAGCAAGGTCAAGCCAAAGGGGGCTTTGTTGTTGGAACTGCAAGGGATGGTAATAGGATCGCTGCTTCCAAAGACCTATTCCTTGTGGGTCCAGCATTGTTCTATTTATGCACTCAATTGTTCACGCTTTGTGATAGTACCCTCACTGTATTTCGCGCTTGGCCTGTGTTTTGTTTTTGTTGTATAGTTTTTTTTTAATGCAGCCATGTTTTTTCCCCACATCTTTGTGTGGGGTTCTTGTTTTTGGTTAGTTGTGCACTCTCGCCCGCCTCCCGCCTGCCTCCCGCCCGCCGCCTGCCTCACACACGACTTGCTCACATACAACTTGCTCACACACAGAACTTACTCTCACACAACTTGTCCACACACAACTTGCTCACACACAACTTACTCACACACAACTTACTCACACACACAACTTGCTCACACACAACTTGCTCACACACAACTTGCTCACACACAACTTCACACAACTTACTCACACACAACTTGCACACAACTTACTCACACACAACTTGTCCACACACAACTTACTCACCCACGACTTGGCACTTGGCGACATCGACCTTCACTTTGCGTGGCACGCATGGCACTTGGCGACATCGACCGTCACTTTGCGTGGCAGGCGTGGCGCTTATGGAACTGGGGTGGCTCTGGTGGCGCTTGGTTCCCGTTTTGCGCCGTGGGCGCCGCGGCTGTTTGCGTGGCAGGCGTGGCACTGGCGACATCGACCTTCACTTTGCGTGGCAGGCGTGGCACTTGGCGACATCGACCTTCACTTTGCATGGCAGGCGTGGCACTTATGGCACTGGGCTGGCTCTGGTGGCGCGCTTGGTTCCCGTTTGGCGCCGTGGGCGCCGCGTCACTTTGCGTGGCAGGCGTGGCACTTGGCGTCACTTTGCGTGGCAGGCCTGGCACTTATGGCACTGGGCTGGCTCTGGTGGCGCGCTTGGTTCCCGTTTTGCGCCGTGGGCGCCGCGGCTGTTTGCGTGGCAGGCGTGGCACTTGGCGACATGGACCTTCACTTTGCGTGGCAGGCGTGGCACTTGGCGACATGGACCTTCACTTTGCGTGGCAGGCGTGGCACTTGGTGACATGCACCTGCACTTTGCGTGGCAGGCGTGGCGCTTGGCAACATCCACCTACGTTTTGCGTGGCAGGCGTAGCACTTGGCGACATCGACCTTCCGTTTGGCGTGGCAGGCGTGGCACTTGGTGACATCCACGCTGCATTTGAGCCCATCTCTCTCAAATACAACTTTGTCACACAAAACTTTGTCACACACAATCTTTCACATCTCTCTCTCACATGCAACTTTATCGCACACAACTTTGTCACAGACGATCGTTACACAACTCTTTCACTCACAATCTTTCATACACACAGCTCTTTCACTCACAACCATTCACACACATCTCCCTCACACACACAACTTTGTCACCCACAACTTTGTCACACACACACACCTCTCTCACATGCAACTTCTCTCTCTCTGTCACACACAACTTTGTCACACACAACTTTGTCACACACAACTTTGTCACACACACAACTTTGTCACACACACAACTCTTTCACACACAACTTTGTCACAGACAACTTTGTCACACACAACTTTGTCACACACAACTCTTTCACACACACAGCTTTATGCAACTTTGTCGGACTTTGTCACAGACAATCTTTCACACGCAGCTTTGTCACACGTAATCTTTCATACAATTTCATACACAACTTTGTCACACACACACAACCTTTCACACTTTCACTGACAACCTTTCACACACAACTCTTTCACACACAACTTTGTCACACACAACTTTTCACATACAACTCTTAAAATGATGGATCCTCCACCATCTCCTTTGTCCTTTCTTCTTTCTCCGTGCCGCTTCAACCACTGGATGAAGTTGACTTGTGGGGTTATCCGGTCCTTTAATTGATTGTTTTTGTGGGCCGTTCGGAAAGGCTTCGCCGCACAGGCCAGTGCCAAGCACATATCTCGAGTTTCGACGAGGAGTTGGGTAGTTTTCTTGATGATGTGGCGCAGATTTCCGAGATCCAGATCCCCAGCACCATTGGCTGCAAGAGTCCATTTGGGAATCCTCACGTATCCTTTGGTAGCCTCCAGCCAGTTTTGTCCAATGTCAATTGAGTGTGCAAAGTCGGCCAACCTCACAGACCAATCACCCTACCCCCAGATGAGAGCGCGTCCAGTGTTTGCACCGTAGTTGGAAGTGGGCTGCGTGGTTCATCTCCTCGGCTGCGCCACTAAGGCACTGTGACATTTGCAATGATGGAAGGCCAAGTTTTGCGGGTTTCAGTTTCTGCGTTTCCAGTGGCCCTACGTTCTACGCCATGCCCTCATAATGACCCAAGCACAACCGCATGTACTTGTAAGATGTGTTGCCGCACATCTTCCGCTTGGACTCGGGCAGACTGGGTCTGCTCTTTGCTAGTCGCAGTCCGTGCACTCTCAATGCTAGACCATGCCGTTCCCTTTTCCAAACCCTAGTCTGCACAACCCGACTTTGCACTCATCATCACTCAATGCTGTGTGACTTGAAGCATGCAAGTCACCAACACGTGGTGCTCTGTGTAACATGTCTCCTCCAGGACCTTCGAGGCCGCGCCAGTGACAAACCCCAGATCCCACCTTCTACTCGTATAGTACCGGAAAATCTGGTAGCTATTTTTTTTGTCCCGGTGTCTTGTCCAACCCAGTCCAAAAAGGCAAGGATAATGCAAGGACCATCAAGAATCAAGGACCTAAGCGAGACATAGCGAAACAGTGTCAGGGACTTGGGTCATCTTGTGTCTATCTTGCGTAACTTTTTCCCAAGAACAGCCTAATGGCCTAATTCTTGCCAATCTTGCGAGCAAAGTGGCAACTGGATGCGTCCATTCTGTCCTCTGCGGTCAGGCCTTGAACTGCAACTGGCGACTGCGCTTCAGGCGCTGCAGTCCAGCATGCCTCGGGTAGCGCCTTTATGGCCAGCCACGGATCTTCAGGCATGGACAGCATGGACAGCATGGACCTTTGAGGAACCTTCGGGGTGCATTGGATTCGCTCACTGAATGGACACGATACTCATCCGTATAACTCTTTACATTCATATGCACTAACTTAGACACTCTGGAAGGGTCACTCCTGGCACCGGTAGAGCAATCAATATAGGGAGCAGTTGCCAAAGCGAACAAAAATAAACATATCTGAAATCAAACTCAATCAGCTGCAGGCACGATTACTGTAATACCAAAAGGTTTGGAACTCCACATGGGCCTGTCGCATTCATGCAGCAGTGTGCGTTGACTGTGCGACTGTGCGTTGCTTGGTCCCGTGGCCTGGATCACACTGGATCACCTGCGTTGCTTAAGGCATGAAGTCCTTCAGGATTTGGCCCAGGGTTGACAGCAAGGGGCGGTCACATGATCCGCGAAGAAGCCATGGTGATAGAGTGGTCTTCAGACCCTCATCCTGCAGATCGAGAAATATGGGACTCATCAGTGCACGATGAGATCCAGAAGTTGCGAGATTTTGTAGAGGGGCACCGCGGAGGCATTTGTAGTACTATAAGGCGGTCAAGAATTGCTACAGGAAAACAAAGGACCCTAGGGAATATCATGGAACTCATGGGATATCATTTCATTGATATCGTGAAATCACAAGTAATTCCCGTTACACCCGAGAGATGGAGGGATAGAAGATCATCATGGAGTATCACATTAGCTTGGTTTTGTTATGTTTTGTTGAGCTCCAGATGCCCAGCGTACACAGCTCAGATTGCGCTGCAACTGAGGCAGTTCAAGCAACAAGCTGAGCTCTTGAAGCAGTTGAGCGTGAATCACAGAAGGCTGCTTTTTCAAGTCTTAGCAAAGCGCATGATGGTTTGGGCATTTTTTTTGCTCTGGCAACAAGGCATTGACCTAGCCAGTTATTGCTAGGCTATGGTCCACCGTGTGCCCGGGCTATGTCTATTGCTAGGAAGACGAATGAAGTACCGCATAATTATATGGGTTCATTGCATCTCATGGCATTGCACTTATTCAATATTCGTTTTCAGTTCATTTCAGTTCTGCCATGTTCTGTCAGTTTTTGGTCCAATAGATCTACCGTTGTCAAGCGCATACATAGCTGCCTCTGTGGTTTTTGCGATGAAGAGCCATGTCTTGAGATGTTGAGCGGCTTGCAGGGGAAAAGCGAGAGCTTCGAGTCATGATAATGGAGACAAGGAAAAGGTAGCTATGGTGATGCCGGTGGCTTGGATTGCTGCGCCAGAGCAGGGTTGGGCGATTGCAGAAGGTTTCAGAAAGCCAGGCGGCAGACATGATGGTATTAAATGATATTATAGTAGTAATAGATTATGGATCGCTGAGATATTGAGAATATGAAGATGCATGAAGATTGTTAAATGGCATTGCTGTTTATAAATAATTTAAATGCAATTCTGTAGCGCGGAGCCCAGGTGGAGTTTTTCCGCAATCTTTCCCTGGTCTCGGGAGAAGGGCCCAGATGCCATTCACAGGTGCTTCCGCCACCGGCTCTTGGCAGCTCGCCAGAAGGCGAGTCAAAGGCATGGACGGCATGGGCGGCATGGGCGGCATGGGCGGCATGGGATGGGCTGGGAGAAGAGAGTACACCATCGGGATCCATCAGGTCCATGGCAAAGGGATCAGATGAAGCAACTTGAAATCAGATTCAATGATTTCCAAATGATTATTAAATAGTGTTGTGGTGAAACGATTGTTGAGTGGGTTTGGCCATGCTTGTCAAGCAGCCTGAAAAGTCTCCTTAAATTTGTGGATATTTGTGGGGCATACAGCTTTTGTTTGAAGGATGCCAAAACGGATGGTGTCGTAACGGGTGGTATCAAAACGGGAGGTGTCAAAACGGGTGGTGTCAAAATGTGTGAACTAAGTATACTGTAGTACTGAAGTGGTTCAGAGTCATCAAGTCCCAAGACAAAACATGCAATTCCACCTGCTGGCCTGCTGACTGGTTCAGGCAGAGATCTCCGAGAGGATTGACAGTGCCAGCAGCGCTGGCCCCAACAGCCACGCGCAGGACAGCTTTGGGAATCTTAGAGTCTTAGGGGTTGCTTAGATCAGCATTTGATTCATGGAACGCACACACACACACACCCACACACGCACATATCTTCATATTATATATATATATTATATATATATATATTTAATTATATTTAAACATATTTAATATATATGATATATATTATATATTATATATTAAAAATTATAAATTATATATTATATATTATATATATATTATATTATATATGTTATATAAAGTATATATATTATATATTATATATATTATTTATATTATATATTAAATTATATATATATATTACATACATACATACGTACGTACGTACGTACGTACATACATACATACGTACGTACGTACGTACATACATACATACATACATACACACATACACACATACACACATACACACATACACAGACAGACACGCAGACAGACACACACACACACAGACAGGCAGACAGGCAGACAGGCAGACAGGCAGACAGGCAGACAGGCAGACAGGCAGACAGGCAGACAGGCAGACAGGCAGACAGGCAGTCAGGCAGCCAGGCAGCCAGGCAGCCAGGCAGCCAGGCAGGCAGGCAGGCAGACAGACAGGCAGGCAGGCAGGCAGACAGACATACATACATACGTATGCATACACATGCACATGCATATATATATATAATACATGTGTGTCTCTGTGTGTGTGTGTGCCAGTGTGTACGAATTTGTATTGGAAGATATTGAAAGCACATTCAGCATGGCTCCAAATTTCACAAGCATAACAGAAAAGATCAGAAAAGCAAGCTGCAGTGTGCAGTGACCAAGCCCCTGCAGCAGCGCAGACGCTGCGTTTATATTCTGTCATGCACAAGCAGCATCATATTGAGGTGGCCACCATCGGATGGATTCGGACAGAGACACAACTTCCAGATTCCAGATAGGGACAGATACGCCATGATACGCATGTTTACCACAAAGCGGACGCCTCTTGTCATGTAAAGGGAGAGACCCTATTGCAAGGACACTTCACCAGTCCTTACAAGACGTAACCTCAGCTGCAGGGAGATTACTTTGCGATATTTTCTGATTTTGTGTTGTGTGCTGCTAGCATGTCGGGCTGCCATGCCATTCAAATCTCTCTCTTGCAAGCAAACACCATTCAGTAGGTCTTAGGTGTATCTTGAATACTGTACCACATGATCCAAGATATATCAATAAATAACTAAATACACATATATATATATATGCAATGTACTGTAGCGTACTGTACTGTAATGTCACGTCACGTCATGTATGTTTGTATGCATGTATGCATGTGCGCATGTGTGCAGGTGTGGATGTATGTACGTATGTGTGTATGTGTGTAGTGATGTGTGTATTTTTGTAGTGGTGTGTGTGGTGGTGTGTGTATATGTGTAGTGGTGTGTGTATGTGTGTAGTGGAGTGGAGTGTAGAGAAATGTAGTGTAGTGTAGTGCAGTGTATTGCACCGTACAGTACGTAGTACGTACAGTACACCACCAAACGGTACTGTGCTGTACCGTACTGCATTGTCCAGTACTGTAGTGTGGCGTAGTATAGGGTACGGTAGTGTACCGTCCCGCACCGTACTGATCCCTACTGCATCCTTTCGCTATCCTGTCATAAAATCCTCGCACAGCTTCCACGTGTTCGATGGGCATCGAGGCGAGTTTGGAGCCGAAGCAATAAGTTCGCCGTCAATGCCAGTAGTCACCACGCCCACATTGCCAAGAGAGGTAAGCGGCATAACACCGCGAGAGGCTACATCCAGGGAGGGCACGGACATGGATTTTCTTTCCGTTTCCAGTCCTCAAGACGAAGATCGCGTTCGCAAGGTGGGTTCACAGGTATCGCGGGGTTCGCGCATGATAGAGGACAGTGGGGAAATTGTCACAGCATGTCAGCGATGACTCAGAACTCCCTTTTCGATTGGAAATTCAATATTCAGAATCATTCTGAACCATTCCCTGTTTACTTTTCTTTGTGCCATTTTTGTTCCCCAACTGCCAGGTGAGGGTCTCTAGACTAGACTAGATTGTAACAACACCCAAACCCACTCCCATCTCGCCTACGACCACTCTATGGCAAGCTTGCCAGCTCTCTGGCCCCACCAGGCCGGAATCTTATGCCAGATAGAATGGCCGATAGAATTTTTAAGTAACATGTCAGATAGAGTAGCAGATATAAATTTCAAATAGCATGTCAGATAGGTTGGCAAATAGATATTTTAAAAGAACATATCAGATAGAGTAGCAGCAATAAATTTCGATCAACATGCCAGACAGGATGGCAGATCGACATGTCAATCAACATGTCAGATAGAATGGCAGATAGAAATTCCATCCAACATGTCAGACAGAGTGGCAGATAGACATTTCAAGTAGCATGTCAGATAGAATGGCAGAGTGAAATTTTAATCGAACATGTCAGAAAGAATGGGCCACCCTGAATGGCAGATAGATAGAAAATTTAAGTACCATGTCAGGTAGAGTAGCAGATAGACATTTCAATTAACATGTCAGATTAATTCCCCAATAGTGATAGCTTGGGGTTGTTAACTCTAAAGTCTAAAGGTGGGTGGGCCCCGTCGGGTTTACGGCTGCCGGCCTGGGCGGTGTCTCGGTGGGGTCGTCGGTGGTGTGGGGTCTCGGGTGTCTCGGTGGTGTCTCATTGGTGTTTTGGCGGTTTCGGTGGTGTCTCGGTGGTATCTCGGTGTCTCGGTGGTGTCCGTGCTGTCTCGGTCATGTCTTGGTGGTGTCTCGGTGGTGTTTTGGTGGTGTCTGGATGATGTCTCGGTGGTGTCGCTGGTCTCGGTGGTGTCTTGGTGGTGTCTCAGCGGCTTCCGTGTTGATTCAAGGTGTTCACGGTGTCTTGGTCGTATCTTGGTGGCGTCGTGTTGGTGGTGTCGGGGCGGTTGTGTTGGTGGTCCGTTGGTTTTGCCATGCGCCAGGTAGTCTTCAATGGTTGCATGCAGTTGTCATGACGATGACGACGACGACGACGACGATGACATGATGGTGACGATGATGATGATGATGATGGTGGTGGTGATGATGATGATGATGACGATGATGATGATGATGGTAATGGTGATGGTGATGATGATGATGATGAGGATGATGTCGGTATCGATATCGATGACGATGATGAGGAGGACCATGACGATGACGACAACGAAGACGACGACGTTGCGTTTGCAGGTTTGGGTTGAAGTGGAGGGAGGGACGGATGTTGACATGTGTTATGAAGTAGCTTACGGACTATGATGCTTCTACCGGAGCAACTGCGGACATTCTCTCAGTCCGTGAAGCAACCAGGGCAGTGGGCTGCTCACCTCATCAGAGGAGTTGACATACCTGTTGCATGCTACACTTGCACTGAGACCCTCGCGCAAATTTATCAAAGGAAAAGTCTTAGAATAGAAAACCGACAGGAAAAGAAGGACATACTCCCGACAGCAGGAAGGGAAAGAAAAAGGGAGGGAGGGAAGGAAGGAAGGAAGGAGGACGGCAGGAAGAAAAAAACCAAAAGAAACGAAGGCTTAGCTCCAAAATGCTGCGTGCGCTTTCCCATGTACACATGTTATTTTCAAAGGGTTGCAGGTCCCAAGCAATTTGCAAATGTTGGTTTCAAAATGTGGGAAAGACTGTGCAGTTTACAGATGTTAGCCGCAACACGCTGCAAACAGAACACCATGCCACGTTGTGCAAAATCTGCAGATGATCATTTCAAGATGTTGCGAATACCATCCACTTGCAGGTTTGATCTTCAGAAAGTCGTAAAAATAGCATCCGGTTGACAGCCGTCAATTTCAAAATGCTGCGCATGCCATGCGGTTTACCAGTGATAGTTGCAAATACTGACAAGACTATGCGATGCACTAAAATTTGCACCAATATGCTGCACATACTGCGCAAGTGATGGGTTTTGGTTTCTAAAAATTGCGAGCATTCTACAGTGTACATTTTTTCTTCAGAGCGCCGTGAACATCACGGCACAGTTTGCAGATATGATCCCATTGCAACAATCATGCAATTTGCCACACTGCTGCAAATATTGCCCGATGGCAAAGCTCGGTGTAATGAACTGATGTTGCATCATGCCATGCAATGTACAGGTGCTAGCTGCAAAATGCTGCAAATACGGAGCAATTTTGCGGCAGATACTACGCAGCTCAGCTTAGAGGTTCTAACAGCAAACGACCAACATATGGTACACTGATACTTTCACGCAGAGGTGCTTTCATAAAGGCATGTTTTCACACAGGCATTTACACATGTACATGCTCTTGCCCAGGGATGGTTTTACAGGCAAATACCTTCATGCGCAAGTGTTTTTACACACGGATGCTTTTATAATCTTTTATACAAGAAAACCTTTTACACACAGACACATGGGTACTTCTACACACAGATGCCTTTACACAGCGATGCTTTTTCAGAGGGGTGCTTTTACACGCACGTGCTTCTTTTAACACACATGAGCTTTTACACGCAGAATGTTTTAGAGAAAATACTCTTATGTAGAGATGTTCTTTACACAGAAAAATTTGTACAAAGGCGTCTTTTTAGAGACATATACTTTTACAAAAAGGATTTTTGCACGGATACCTTTTCGGAGGGAGCTTTTACACACAGGCGCTTTTAGACTAGGACGCATCTAGGAAGAGGTACTCTTACATAGGTGAGGCTGGAAGCACGATTTGGGAGAGGGTTCAAGCCATTTGGGAATCAAGTTTCCATCCATTTTGTTTTTACATATGGATGCGTTTACATACAAGGGCTTCTACACAGGGAGGGGCCTTCACACAGAGACGGTTTTACGCAGAGAGATGATTTCACAAAGGGATGCTTCTATATACTTACAGGTGCTCTTACACAGAGATACTTTCAACACAGAGATGCTTTTACACACGGGTGCTTTAAGATATAAATACTTTTACACAGAGGTGATTTTTCTAAGAGAAACTTTAGACACAGGCGGGTTTTCACACAGGTACCTTTACACCTTTACACAGAGATGCTTTACACAGGTGTTTTTACATGTTAATACATCTGCAGCACACTTTACGCACACATTCTTTTACGCGGACATTCCTTTGCACGCAAACACTTTTACAAAGAGGCACTTTGACACACAGTGGCAGGCAAGTTTAGATGCAAATACTTTGACACGGCGGTGTTCATTTTGCGCGCATTTTCTTTACATACACGCATGCTCTGTCACAGGGATGCCTTTGATCACACATGCTGTGCTTTTACACAGAGATAGTTTACACGGAGACACCTTTGCACAGAGAGAGACGTCTTTTTACACGCAAACACTTTTACAGAGAGATGATTTTACGCTGAGAAAGGAATGCATGTGCACGAAGGGTTTTTAGCTACGGGCATTTTCACACAGACATGCTACTGAATTATTTCCTGTGGCGGACACGCTTTGGCGCAAAGAATTCAGCAAGCATATGCAAAATCACAGTTTCACCACAGCTTTTGATGGTCGAGGCGCATTTCGTGGGAAAGGGTTGGCCCAGGACAAACCCACCTTGCAATTTGACCTCAATGTATGACGATCGACATTTCGTGCGAAAGGGTTGCGTTTCGTGGACATCAATCAATCCACGCTGCCCTGCCGCTCGAAGAGAAAAGTTAGAAACAATCAAGGTTGTAGATGTCTGTAAGAAATTTATTTCCACCTGCGTCTTTACATCTGCCACTTCACACTTGAATATACCCACTTTTCGTTTCCAAAAAACGATTTCCGCCTGCATCTATATATCTTCCGCACTACACCTGCATATGTCATATATTCGTTTGGTAGCTGTATTAAAGAAGATTCTCTGCCAACCTGCGCCTTTGAATCTGCACTGAAACGCCTGTCAGTAAGATTCATGCTTTGCATCTACACCTGTATACATAAATTTCTTTTTGTAGATGTACTAAAGTGAGGATGTTGAAGAAGAAGATGATGATGATGACTACTACTATTGATGATGATGACGCGGGCATGGCTGATGAAACAGAAGAAGATGCTGATGATGAAGTTGAAGAAAATGATGATGATGATGATGATGATGGAGATGAAGAAGAAAGTGATGATGATGACGATGATGACGTGGTGTTTTGATGATGGTGGATGTCTGTACTGACTGTGTTGTGATGATGGTGACGGGAAAATGGTATCATGACAAAGTATGCCGGCAGCAATTTTTTGGGAAAACAAAAACCCTGCGCGGGCCCTTTCGGGAATTGGTTGTGTCTGTCCTGATGGTGTTAGTCCTGATGGTTGATGGTGTCTGTCCTCCTGCTGGTGTCTTGGTGGTCTCTCAATTGTGTTTCGGTGGTCGTTGGCGTCTTGGTGGCACTTTGGCGGCGTGTCTGCAAGTCTTGACGGTGTTCGGTGATGTTTTGAGTCTTGCTCATGTTTTTGTGGTGTTTTGGCAGTGTTCCGGTGGTGTTTCGGTGGTGTTCCGGTGATGTTTTGGTGGTATTGAAGAAACAGTTTGTTTTTGGAGTAAAACGGCGCCCCAGACAATACCAAATTGGCGTCAACGGAGATGTGAAACTTTGCTATTGGGGTTGTATGCTGGGTTGATTGCAGGTAGAAATTTCAAGTCAAGATGTCAGGTAGAGTAGCAGGTAGAAATGTCAAATAAACGTGAGGTAGAATGGCAGATAGATATTCGCCCACCATGTCAGCTGGAGTAGCATATCGAATTTGCAATGAATTAACTTGCCAAATAAGATGGCAGATAGAATTTTCAAACAACATGTCAGATACAGTGGCAGATACAGCATACCAGATAGAGTAGCGGATAGACATTTCAAATAACATGTCAGACAGAATGGGAGATAGAAGTTTTGAAAAACATGCCAGGTAGAATGGCAGATTGAAATTTCAAAAAAAAATCAAAAAACATGTCAGATGGAGTGGCAGATAGGGATTTCAAATAACATGTCGGATAAAGTGGCAGATAGAACTTTCAATAGACATGTCAGATAGGATGGCAGAAAGCAGTTTCAACTAACATGCCAGAGAGAATGGCAGATAGAAATTCCAACCAACATGTCAGATAGAGTAGCAGATAAACATGTCAAACAACATTTCAGACAGAACGGCAGGTATTTTTTCATTGAACATGACAGACAGAATGACAGGTAATAGTTTCAAAGACCATGTCAGATGGAAATGGCAGGAGGAAATTTCAAATAACATGCCAGATAGGATGGCAGACAGAGATTTCAATCCAAAATGCAAGTCAGAATGGCAACTAGAAATTTCAAAAGAAACATGTTGGATAGAATGGCACATTGAAAGGTCAAACAACATGCCAGATAGAACGGCAGACAGAAGGTTCAAATAACATTTTAGGTAAAATGGCAGATAGAAATTTCAATAAACCTATCAGGTAGAATGGCAGATAGAGAATTTGAAGCAAAACATGTCACATAGAGTTGCAGATGGAATTTGAAATTGCATGTCAGATAGAGTAGCAGAAACAACATGTCAGATAGACTGGCAGATAGAAATTTCAAACAGCATGTCAGATAGAGTAGCAGACAGAAGTTTCAAAACAAAACATGTGAGATAGAATGGCATATGGAAATTTCAAAAAACATGTCAGATAGAACGGCAGATAGGAATTTCAAACAGCATGTCAGATAGAATGTCACAACACGTGTCAGATAGATTGCTGGAGAGAATGTCAGAATATATGTGCCCAAGAAGATAAGATGCCAGAAAGAATGTCAAACAGAATTCCTGATAGAATGGCAGATAGAAAACTCAAAAACATGTCAGATAGAATAGCAGATCGAAATTTCAATTAACATGTCAGAAAATGGCGGATATAGTAATTTCAAAAGACATGTCAGATAGAATGACAGACAGAAGTTCCAAATAATATGTCGCGTAGAATGGCAAATATAAATTTCAAATAGCATGCTTGATAGAGTAGCAGATAGAAATTTGAGACAACATGTCAGATAGAACGGCAGATAGGAATTTCAATTAACATGTCAACCATTGATGACGACTCTCTTCCCCATACTAATCCCGCATTCATATGCATTCATGACAGACTTTCTCCAGGACAATGAACCGTCTATCGGTCATCCAAATTCCCATCAAAACCCGATAAACTTGTTGCGTATCAAGAAATTTCTCAAGACGCCCCCCCCCATTCACAGCTCCCACCACTGACACCTACGCAGTCCTCGATCATGCTCTTTCCACATCTCCTCTCCCCCACACGTTTCCCTACCGTAGTTTCACGTCACTTTCTCCCTCCCTGCTCGGTTCAACTCCCTTTCTTTTCCCTCAGGGACTTCTCCTACCTTGATGCAAAACTTCAATACCAGTCCACCGCATTATCCCCTTTTGATCTTCAACCACAATCTTCTACTCTTCCCCTCCATTCCATATCTACACCGATGGTTTCCAGGACAACCCCTCAGGATGGGGTGTCTACTTCGATAATGTTTTCCTAGACTACTTCGGTCATGTTGGCTTGTCAAAACACATGTCAGATAGATGGGCGGAGAGAATGTCAGATAAAATGCCAGATAGAACGTTAGAAAATATGCCAGATAGAATCCCAGAATATATGTGTCCAAGAAGGTAAGACGTCAGATAGAATGTCAAACAGAATGCCAGATAGAACGTCAGATGGAATGTCAGATGGAATGTCAAAATTGGTGGCAAACAAAGTTCCGGATATTGTAGACTGTCGGTTTTCCTGTCGGATAGAATGTCAAAACACATGTCAGACAGAAAACAAGATGGAACACCAGATATTATGCCACATAGAACGTCAGATAGAATGCCCGATAGACCGTCACATTTTTTTCCAAGAAACACGCCACAGTGGGGATCACACGAAGCAATGCATTTTCATTGGCAACTGCCACGGTTGCATTTGCATTTCTGCCCGTCCTTTGTTCAAATTTCCTTTTGCAATTTTGAATTCTCGAGGCATGTCGGGTATGCTTAAAGAGCTGCTAAGGAGCTGCAAGTCTCCATGCGCAGGACCCCCAGAGAATAGCCTTTGGCAAACATCACGCGAACTCGGCGTCTTTGAGCTCAGACCACGCAACAGAAGCACAGCGGCACAGAGTTTTCGAAGTGCAAGAACCACAAAAACCACAAGAGCCTCCAGTAATTGTGCAAATAACAGGGGCCCCAATCTAGATAAGTCGATCTAAGTGCATTCTGAAACTAGCCCGGGGTCATTTTACAGAAAATTCACTAAAAAATCAGGCCTGATTCGGCCTGATGACTGAAAATTCAATTTTTCTTCTTGTTAGGCATTGTCATAAATGCGTTGTTTTTTTTTGCGCCTTCGGGCTGTTATTCTTCCTTTCCCATTTTGTTGTCATTATTTTGTAATCGCTTGTTCTATTCAATGGTCCTTTTTGTCATTTGCCTACAGGAAACTATATAGTCATTTTTTCTTGCCACGTTCTCGTGTCGTGTAATTACTGTTTGCTTGCGTTTGTTTCTGGACTCGTGTTCATTCAGGCATGACAGGCATGACCAGAAAAAGGGACAAAGTCAAAGTAAACACATCAGAAAACATGAATTTGGTAGAAAATAGAAAATGATGAAACTACATGCTTGCCCCGCCAGTCGGTGCCACTTAAATTCTCATCGGCAATACGGATTGATGATGCAAAAATTGTTCTGACATTAATGAGCTCTGCACCACGGTGATGCTGTGTGCAGAAAGGTTCTGAGGCATGGTGTTAGATATAGGGGCAGTGAACTCTCTTGCGAGCTAGCAGAACAGAAACATCAGAAACCCAGTACAGAGCAAATGCCGCGTTTCATACGTTTCTGTTTCGGTAGCCCTCAAGTTGTCAAGAGCATCTCTTGAGCATCCGTGGGGCCACCTGATTTTGGGATATCTTGGGCATACATGTTTGAGCATGTTTGGATGTTGTTGTTTGCCATAATTTGCCAGGTGTTTCACGGCCTCAGAATTTGCAGTATATAATTAACTGCCTGGAACTTTCTGGAACAGTTACATTCAAGAAACAAAATAAAGACCGCATGCAGTGCATTCGGAAGGGTGCCTAGCTCCGATGTTTATCAAACCGCGTTTCAAAATCGCCGCTAGATACAGTTTTTTTCTAAACCTATACTATATAGTTTAAATAACTGACTAGTAACAAATAGCTGACGACATACAGTACTTGTAGCAAACACCATGGCCCCTACCCCTCGAGACAACACACTGAACACACTTTGCATCCCAAACACTTCTCTCTAGCCGTATGTTGATTTTGTTCATTTTTTTCTGCCATTTTTGTAGAGTCCGAGGGTCAGCGGCAGATACACGCTCCCTATAGCTAATTTGAACTCGTCGCCATGCTCAGCAAGGTAGTGTGGCCGTACTTGTTTTGTTCTTGTCTTGGTCCTGTTCTTGTTTTTCTTGTTTTGTCTTGTTGTTTTTGTTGTTGCTACTGGTGGTACAGGTTGTACGTGGATTTTGAATTAGTGCTCCAGTAGATTGTAGGGTCTCGTACAGCCATGCCCTGATTAAGGAGTTCCGAGAGCTGAACTCACCGTCAGCCATAGCCGATTGGATCATGCGATCTCAAGTCTTCATCTATGGCATCATGCGCGCTAGCTGCACTATGCTGCACTATGCTGCACTATACTGCACTATGCTGCACTTTGTTTTTTTTCTTGGCATTGCATGGCGTTCAAAGCGTGAGCTTCTAAAGGATCTGAAGCATTTGCATGACCAACTGAGGTTCGTCATTCTGTTTAACCTCGTGTCTCTAGGAATTGAGGTTGACATTGCGGCGAAGGTTGGACAAAATGACGTTCCCAAGTACTTTGACTACATGAACCTGATTGTGGTCATTATTTTTATCATGGAATTAGCTGTGGCTTGTTGGCAAGTTCAGGCTTCCGTGCCCGACAAACGTCAATTGCCTTCTCTCTCGGAATTTTAACGATTTTTATCACTAGATCATTAGATCACTACGTGGTCTCAAGTGTTTGGACGCATTGTGCCCTGGCGCATTGCAATCAGCTATGCAGCTATTACTGAGAATCTTGGGGACAACCGCACTTTCGATTTTTAGCTTGCTGCATGCCAGGTGAACGTCACCGCAAATGGGATTTACAAGTTTGTTTGCGGCGGGGACTGGCTTTGGAACATTTTTGATGTCATTATTGTAGCCCTGCAACCTGGCCCGCACTGGAGCAGATGCACGCAGCAAGGGGGCGCACATCAGATATCAGTAGAGTGAGGACTCCCATATACTGTACATATATTATATTGATTACATATACATATATTACATTATATTACGAAATCATATGGCATATGGAATATATATATACATATTGTAATGTTCATAATCATCACACACACACGCATATATATATATATATGGATACATAGTATAGCTGTACCGGTACCTATGAGTGCAGCTTCAGAATGATGTGATCGTGCTTCTCAGAGCTTCTCCTTGAGTCTGATGCTCTCTTTCAAGGTCAGCTCTAGAAACTGGCACTAGCTTCCTGGCAAGCTCTCCGACAGGAACATCCCAGGCAAGCACGAGCACTGTCCGCATTTGTAGCAAATAGATGCAAATAGATGTTTGATGATGTTTACACAGTTTCTAGAAATGTCCTGCGCTTGGTTTTGCTGGGTTCCACAGGCAATTTCACGCGCATTTTGCATCATTGATCATCATTGTGCTTTTGCCAGCAGCTTCAAATTTTTATGCTGCATGCAAGCCCAAGAGAGGTCCATGAACGGCATGGTTTCTCTATTGCTGTGTTTTGCCATGAAGCAACTCTCTGGACAAAGGGAAGCTAAAGCCACGAAAACCAAAGGTAGGCACTTTCGATCACTTTCGCGGCATCTGCATCTACGATCTGTGGCATGCCAGGTGAGTCCAAGTCATTTACGCTTCATGCGCCCAATCCGCCTAGCACGTGCGCTGCGCGGGGTGCGAGTCATGCGCCTCTTTCGGTATGTGGGGGCTTTGCGGACACTGTTGCTGCAACTTGGCAGACACTGGAAATCACTGGAATACGTGAGGTCGCAGATGTTTTGATGTACTGCACATGTGCTTCCTATACTTTTCCGTTTGTTGCGGCAGCATGACGATCATCGGAGGTCCATCATGAGCAGCATAGCATCACTGTTCTGGACCATAGTCTTGCTGGTGCTTCTCTTCTACAGCTTCGGCGTTCTTTTGACGCAGCTTGTGCAACTCAGCTAGCATGATTGAGAGACAGATGAAACATCATGAAACGGACCTGTTGAGTGTTAAGTGTTTACCGACGTGTTTGGTCCTTGGCTGGCTTGGATAATGGCAGCCCTTGCCGCAGAGTCTCCTTCTCCAAAAGCAGGGTTCCACTCCCAAGCAGATAGATATAGTCGATAGATATAGTATGATATAGTATGATATAGTATGATATAGTACAGTCATGTGCAGTGTACAGGTCTCACCATGTGCGGTGAGCCTGCGCTTAGGTCAGATTACTGCCGGGACCAAGCTATTGTGGAAACAGGCGACCTGAACGCATCCCCAGAGTGCAGCAACCTCACGTACAGCAGGTTATGGAGTAGCGTCCCAGAAGCGATGTTGACGCTTTTCATGGCGATCTCTGGTGGCATCGATTGGGATGACGCGCTCATACCATTGCAAGAGGTCTCCCCTGTTGCAGTTGCAGCTTTGCTCTTGTAAATCGTGATTACTGTCTCTTGGTAGAAGAAGCGGCTGCGATTTGATGAAGCCATGTTGGATTCAGATCATGCCGATTCATGCCTATCTTGCTGTGTGATGATAATCAGCTTGGCATGGAAGGAAACGGTGACAGCATGCCACAGAACTTAATTACTTGCCTTTGAAATGAAACTGGCGCGGCGGCAAGAAATGCAGAGGTGTGCAGAAACGGTGCCCACGAAAATAGATGCAATGTTCCATGATGTTCTATGATTTTCTATGCATTTATGCAATGGTATGCATATGTGTACATATGTCCTTTGCAGAGAGGTAATTAGCGGATCCCCAACAAAAAGCGCCAACACAATATGAGGCACGAACATAATCAAAGAATAGACGCTGCCAGACTGGCACCTGGAACCTGACGAAGAATTGGACCAATCCCAACCTGATCCCAACAATGGTCAACAATGAAAAAGGGATCTTCACCAACATGCCACATGTTCAATGTTCAAAGCAAGTGCACGTGGTTGAAACGACCGCTCACCTGTCCTCGTGCCAAGGGAGACTTTTGATTCACCATATTTTATGACACAGTTTGATCATTTCAGGTATTCACAGTTGTGAACGTGGTGACAGGTAACTTGGACGCAAAAGAGACTGAAATTCGTTGTGTGAATCTTCTTTCAAACCGTTGTTTCTGCGATGGGGAGGCTTCCTTTACATATGGATAATATATATATATAATTAATTCTAATTATATATATACGTATGTTAATTGCTGTCATTGTGCCCATGCGTGGATATGCGTGGCCTGCTTTTGAGCTGATCACTTTGTCAAACTTCACACACAAAGAACATCCGACATGTTCAATCCCTGCAATCTTCAAGACTATGAGGTGTCCATTGTCCATTCCAACATAGCTACATAGTCCAGCTATGTCCAGCTATTGTCCTAGCAAGAATCAACCAACCATCTGAAGGGTCAGAATAGCGCAGAGAATATTGATGATTGGACTAACATGGATTGACTGCGTGTTTGTGTGTGGTTTGGCGGTCTGGCAATACCGTACCAACAAGAATTGATGATTAGTTATGTGCTCTTTGAGTATGAGCATAGTATGAGTTATCACGCGTCCCAGACCTGTAGCGCGCAGAGCAGCGTCCACTGAACATGTTTGATCATTTTTGTGTGGGCAAAGTCATTCCCTTCGTCACTTGTTTGAGCAAAAATCATGAGAAATCCGCCACTGTTAATCAAATTGTCAAAGACCCAACACGAATCCACACAACTACTGCAATTGATACTAATTGCAAACAATTGCCTTTGCAGAGGTTCCGTTGCCACAACATGCTCCCAGAATTCAAATGGCCGATGCAAAAGAAGAAACAAGTTTCAGAACCTGGAGATGCAGATTCCGTATGATTACGCAGGGCGCAACATGGGAGAGAAAGGTGTCGCAGATGGCAGCAATGTGGCCTGCAAGCAGGCCACACTTCCACTCCAACCATGGAAGATACAATATCAATATTAGTATGTTTTAATCAGATGGAAAGCGAAAACAAGACAAAGCTTGGATACTGGAAAAATACGTGCTGAACTTGGCAAATATGCTCATGTTCTCCATAGTCGTAGTATGATTTTGCGTGTCGCAAATCCGTAGAGAAGGGACAGGGACTTTCTGGACATCTCTCCATCTTTGGCTTGCTTTGCAAGTTCTGATCACAAAAGGTAGCGTCAGCTGCCTGAGTTTCACGTGCGATAGCAATAGCGGGTACAAAATTCAACGATGATTATACATTAGTTGTTGATTTGAATATTGTTTCTGATTTCTGTCCTGTGAAAATCAGCGCTGGGGTTCAATTTGTGAATTTGGGGCATGACGGCTTTGACGAATACGCATACCGGAGACTACAGCACGAGTTGTAGTTGTAAATGCATCGAAGTCGTGTTGTATGCATCGAAGTTGCATGCTAATCATGCTAATTATGAGCCATTGCTTAGATTCTTCGATTACAGTGACTAGATTCTACTGTCCCCAAGAGCATAAAACAGGTGCAAGCTCAGAGACCCCGTATTGCCATTGCAAAGGCTCCTCTCAGGATTGACGCTACGTATTTCGTTCATTGCAGCTTGATGAGCGCCTCCAACCTCATCAACTCATCACCACCATATTCTGTTTCCGTAGTTCCCTAGCCGCCATAGCCCAATGTTACTTAATTAAAGATATGTTTGTCTTATCCTCATCCTACACAAGCCACCAACCAGGATTCAACCGGGCTTGCAATAGACGTACTGCTGATAGTTAGATAGTTCCTTTGACAGTACTAAAAAGACCGTGCGCAGCCTTTTTGCTCACAACCATCCTACCTTTTTGTTGACCCGAGCCCCAACCAAGTCAATTAAATTATCTCACTATTGATATTATTGTTTCTGTATGTTTCTGTTCAAATTTGGCATGCAGTGTGATTGTGCGCATCACTTCTGTTTGATTGGCAGTCGGCGGGTATTGCTGTCAGTGGTTTGCATCACCGACATCACCAGTCAGATTCTGTTGCTGTTTTGGTTACGCGGTTACGCCGCATGTGGCTTGCTAGGACTGCTAGGATGCAGGATATTTGTGCACATGCACATGCATGCAGCCGCGTGGACAGACTGATGGAAGGACAAACAAACAGAGAAAGAGATAGAATCCCTGTTGAAAGATTATCATTAATTATTACGTTTGATATAGACGGTCGTTGCATTTGGGCAACAGTGCATGCACACAAGTATTTTTTGTTTCAAAGTGCCATGCATGATCATTCATGTTCATTCATGCAGAAATTCAATGAAATTCATGCATCACAAAGTTCGTTTGCCGAACATCTCCTGGCGAGCTACGCCCATTTTTTCCCAAGTGAACACCACACCGCAGAAAAGTTTTTGATCTACACATATCTACACCCAGAATCCCTTTCAAGGGATGAAATCGCTGATTGCATATGCTGTTTAATTGATAGCAACAAGAACACATATACGCATAGTACACATATATATATATATTATATGTATAATTATATCGTGTTATAAAATGTGCATTTATATGTGTTAATATGCATATGCAGATGCATATATATATATAAATATAAATACAAAGTCCGTTTGTTTTTATAATATATACAGCAAAACCGCACGCGCATAGAAGTACATGTTTATACACGACACGTGCTTCCATGAGGCGTCTTCTGCAACACGGCGATTGAGAGTGCAGCAGCGGACAAAGACATTGCAGTGATGAAACAGATGAGGAAACATGCTGCCCAAGTTCAGGCAATATCTGTGCCGGTCATTTGGACAGGTTGTCAAAGATGCAGTCCCTTTCAGGTAGTAAATATGGCATGAACCGGGAGGAATTTCCAGATGTAGCAAGTTGAAGCATTGCTTATCGGCGAGAAAGACAATCACGCGGGGCTAGGCATCAGAAAGGCTGTATGATTGTGAAATGTGCAACTTGCGCACAGGTTCTGAAGAACGTTTTCCGTGAGATCGATGAGAAGTCCAACAAATCAATCACCATGGAAGATTTGGAGGCATTGTTGGCTAAAAAGTATTGCTTTTTTCCAGGGATGTTGCGCTGTTAAGGTGGGTGGCCAAAGCTAGAGAGGAAAGGCCATTGCAATTCTACCCCGATCATTGGAGAATATTGGAGACTTTTGCCAGGAAGCGATGTCAGCTCACAAGCCGCTTGAATGCATATTTTTTATGAATAACTCCAAGCTGTTCAGCCTTGTATCCTGTTTACTTGGATGATCAAGCGATTGCAAGCGCTTGGCACATCTTGATGCAGTCATATCACACTCTGATGCTAGTTGCCAGGAGCCGCTCGCTTTCCGGTCGTTCTGATTAGCTATTTAACTATATATATACATAGAATTACTGGCTGAATGCAACGCACAATTCAAGGCGAAAGTGTAATGTGTTATTTACATGCCTGCGTGTGTAAAGCTAGAGAGAGAGAGAGAGAGAGAGATGTGTTTCATGATTCAGCTGACAGCAGCTTCATCACCGTTCAAACAAGGTGCGGCCAAGAGCGGTTCCAATTGGCGGGACACGTTAAGACATGTTGAGACACGTTGAGTGAGACGTGTTGAGACACGTTGAGACACGTTTTTTCTTCCGGTTGCCGTGTTAAGGTTGTCCAGCTTCCTCCAATCCATGGGCATTGACACCGAAGATGTGATGACACTTTTCCAGGCATTGCTGCAACAAGTGCGACAAAAACGAGCGGAGAAAGCATTGAACGATATTGAACGCATGAAGATGCTGATTTCATTTGATTTCCTTATCATATTTGGACACTGGAAGCGGCACGCCGAACATATTGGCACATATTGGCATCACTGTGCTGGTTCCAATCCTGGATTGAAAACCTTTGCTTAAACTTGCCAAGATTCTTCGCATCAAAACCCAAAAGAAATCAAAGCACATGAGCATACATGAGCATTCACACAAAAAGCTCCGAAGTATGTAAAGAACGTTCAAGATCCCTTTGTAAGCCGATCGGAATTCATCAGCATCTTCCTTGAGCCGTCAGATTATCGACTCGGATGGCAGCGGATTTATAGATGTGGACGAATTTGTCACGGGCTGCATGAGGTTGCATGGTCCAGCGATCCTTTGGCCGAGTTTGTCGTGCATGCTGGTTGCACCCCAAACAAACCTAAACAAACAGACAGAGCACCATTTCTTCGTGCGCTCAATATATCATTGTATTTCATTGAAATTCTGTGTCTATGCATTTTCTTTCTTTGACTTTGTGCCATCTGTACGGGTGCTTTCTTAACATTGCGGCATATTCGGCACGGTTACTTCATGTTCCATTATGCCGCCTTCAATAAGCAAATCAGTTTGATTACACAATTTTGCATGTGCCACTCTGCATTGAAGCAACATAATACAGCACACATGCTGCATCCATGCTGCAAGAACGGATGGAATTGTTTAGAAGGGACTGCAAGATGGTAAAGATGGTACAGTAAAGGATGCACAGACAGTGGGTAAAGGGATGGATCAAATGTACGTATACTTTGTAGGTCACTTGATACAGGCACACATGATGCATGTAATATATGCATATAGACATACAATATTATATGTACATGCTGCATGCTTGTAAAATATCTATTGACTTAGTCTAAATCTAAATCCATATTATGCTGGATACTGCAATGAAATTCAACCTGATCTAATCTAATCAAATCAATATCTATCTCCTAGAAAGGCGATGAAGAGAGATAAAGGGAGAGAGAAAGAGAGAGGGAGAGAGCGCGACATAGCGACAGAGCGATAGAGCGACACCACACAACATCCACATTTTTGCGTTTATACAGATACATATTCTAGTATATATACAGTATATAATATACTTATACTGATTCTAATATATTTATATTTATATACATAAAATATAATATGTATACGTGTGTGTATATGTATTTATACATTGCACATACTTATCGTTTTTTTCCCATTTTTTTGGGGGTATGTCTATCTATAGACATATGTGTGAATGCATGCGTAGATGCACCACATATACGCACATGTGTGGAGTTGTGCATCTCTAACCCCAGGTCTCTGTCTATCTTTGAGCAAGGATTCGCTTTAGCGCATGCATAGAACGCTGTCAAACAATTACGGTGTCGCCTAAGATCCACATGGAGGGTGCTGTGACATACTTGCCTTCACACTAACTCTACACATCTCTACACTAATTCTTGTTCTCTTCTCTTCACTATGTGAGGAAAAGCCTGGATGTGGCAAAGATGGGCTTTGAGAATCAGATCACCAAGGAGGCGATCAAAGATGTAGACGACACCCTGCAGATCATGAAGGACCGCCCAGATGCCGACATGAGGATGCAGGAGTGTAAGACATCACAAGACAGGATTGTATGCAAGGGGAAGGTATCTCATCTAGATATTTGAAGTCTGAAAGTGACCATGTTTCTGCGGGTCCATGTGGATAACCTCATCCACGGGACCCCCCCGGAAATCCACGTCATATTGAAATTCGGAGCATCTGACTTTAACCAGCAGCATAAGATAAACAGAGTTACGCTGTCTCTTGCATGCTTGCATCATTATATAATTACTAGTAGCGGAGCATACCATTCATTTTCTTTTCTCAGTGTCGAGATCCTTTGTCGTGATTCTTTCTGACACAGCGTGACGGGATGCAGGAGCAGCTTTCAACGCTGTTGCAGAGACAAAAGATGCCAGTGGAGACAAATTCGAGCTTTGCCGTGTAGTGTTTACTCTGTTGCAAGACTGGTCCAAGAGAGGTTTTCGTAGAATCGAAGATGAATCGAAGATGAACTATCATAATTACTGTGGATGCACAGTAGGTGCCAGCTGCGCCATTTGTCGTCTTATGTCGTCTGAGCTCCTAGCCAACATGACGTCGAGAAGGACCGTTTGAATTTGACAAATTTGACTGATATCAACTGATGATCGAAAAGTGATGCGTTGTGCAACCAGTCGAATGAAGTGAAGAAATATGAAGAAGGTTGAAGAAGCGTTCAGCGCAGCTAGCAGCACCGCAGTTTGTCTCACAGCTGTTGCATCAGCAGTGACAAGCTCAGACTGCAAATGCAGCTTGGGAAGACTTGTCCAATAATTTGGCGAAGCCAGTGCATTGGAACTCTCTTGCAAAGTTGGCACATCCGTAGCATTCCGTGATGCACCGTAGGCAACGCAGTATTAATGGGACACACGCGCGCACACCCACACACACACACACCTGCAATTTTTCACGTCGTATCTTGAAGTTTCTAAGGGCCTGATTCCTAGAGCACCAGATTGCTGGATAGCTGGTTGCAATTCAAAAGATTTCAAAAGCAGCGTGCCGCAAGTTGTAGTTCAGATGATGTTCGGTCATATTTTCATATATTTTATTATATTTTCAGGGTTTGCCGAATCTTGCTGATGTCTTTCGGTGGTGCCACCTGGTCCAGTTGCAGAACTGCGACCACGACAATGTCTCTTAGAGACCAACGAGGAGACCATGGCCGACTCTTGTCAGACCCTCTGCATTTATCATTCAATCATGTTGAATATTGTTGACATAATTGAATCATTTATGTTCAGTTATGTTACAACACCGTGCCTGACGGTGCCAGAACATTCTCAGAAGCTTTAAAGCAGCTTGGAGGGTGTTCTTCCATCTTACAAGGCATATCATACTGAACATGCTGCAACCATGGATGGAGGAGCTCGTGCCTGGCATAAGGGTGCTGAGATATAATGCACATTAATGCACTATAGAATACTATAGACACAAATGACACGAGAATAAGATGGCAATAAATGACATATAGATACATATAGTAGCATAAGGCCATCGTCTCATGTTTTGCTACGAACCATAGGCTTTCAGCCATAGGAGCTGAGCGTTTCGAAATGTCTTGAAGCCACGTCCGGAGCTTGCTCTAGGCAAGTTTCCTTGGATCCACAGATCAACGACAGCCGTGTGGATCCATGTGGCCAACTGATCTTGATCTTGTGGGCCTTGTGGGCTGTGCTCCATGCCTTAGACAGCCATTTCACCCACTTCCAAAAGCTTCCACAGATCTCACACCAATCGTGCTCGCCAGCCATACTTGAGTGCTCAGAGCAAGAAGCAACTTCGATTGCCCATTGGATTGTATGACTGGGATTGGTTCGACATGGTTCGAACATACTTCAAGAAACGGGTGGTGCTGGAAGGTGCTGGAAAGCCCTGAACGATCCGATGAAACTGCGCTTAATGCATCTCAATGCTCAATAGAGAGAAAATTGCGAATTTGAAGAGTTTCCATTGCGTCATTCATTGAGCAATCCGAAACAACGGCGTGGCGATGATTTGCAATGGTTTGCATTCAACTACATTGCAACTGCATTTACCAAATCCACATGCCAAGCGGTAATATATTCTTTAGTTATCTTTAATTGATTTTAATTGCATTGGGGCAATGTCGCAGGTGCCGTCCTGGAAAGTGCAACGCGCAGCAATCAACGCAGCCATAGCGCTTGAAGTGCTCCTGAGCCTCAGCTCAACGTGGGGGCGCAGGGAACGTTTAGCGTTTGGGGACGTGAGGTCATCCTCGCATCGAACACCGGGGAACTCATTTGATGCAGTGGATAGCCGTAGCATGCTCTAGCCATTTCTGGCCATCATTTTCTCGTTTTACCTTGACAATGTGGAGAGTGGGTAGGTTAGGTTGGCACCAGAGCTCATTAGGAAGCATGCCAGGTTTTCCGTGATGTCCTGGGTTGAGTGCCCTGTGAGGAATGTTGTGCCCGGTAGTTTTGGCTAAGATTCAGGAGGATTTGAATTTTGGCGAACATTTCTGACACACCGGTTGGTTTCCAATTTGCACAGGGGACACTGAAGGTGCTGTGCAGCATCGATGTAGCAACGAGATCAAAAGAATGTGTTGCATGCCTGCCTAATTTTGAATGTTTGTCAAGTTTTGGCTGGTGTGCTGCTGTTTTGTTCCGAACACCTAAGCATTTGCTCTGGATATTTGCAAAATCACAGGTAAAAAAGGAAAGGGGTAAAGAAATGGGGCAAAGTGCACACATGAACGCGCATGATCGAGCATGTAATTCTGATTTAGTTTATGTACCTGAAGAGACATCAAAGACGCTGGCCGCAAAGAATGCCCCGGGCTCCCAGCCTCCCATCCGTTGTCCTCACACATTCCTCTCGCATTCCTTCCCACGCAAGGGCTGCGGTGAATCCCAACTGTGAAAGGGGTTCGACCCGATTAGGTGCGCTGTGGTGCGCTGCTGACCATGACATGTTGATCCCTTTTTTAATGTTAAAGTACGCTATAGTACGCTTCAAAGATGCCAAATACATCCGAATACACTCCTTGTTTGAGTTTGAACATGTTTGTTTCCAAATTCTAGGCGCTTTTGTACTGGCATGAATTGTGATGCGTGTGGCAGGAACAGCTCTCAAGGATGCGAGCACATCAGGGCATGCTGCCTTATCGGAGAAGGCTTAGCAGCTTAGCATGGCCTTAAGCCTTGCCATGTGATCGAGATGTTTACGACTCTGAAAAGCTCTGCCATTACGATGTATCCCAAATTTCCACGACAGTACTGCTTGCGAAATGCAATACGGGTGCTTGTGTGTTTGTATGCACTCAGCCACAGTCGCGTCAGGCCACTGCCATCACAAATCTCTTGCAACAACACATCGAGGAAGTGAACTGCACGTGGGCAAGGCCTGAAGGAAGGGTTTCATCATTTTTTGTTGAATCATGTTGAATCATCATGATGAATCATGATGCAATGACATGTTTTGGTCAACACTTTTGCTTTTGACGTGATCCGCGTATTCGTATCCAACGGCTAGACCGAGCCAGACAATGCTAGACCATCATGCCTTGCAGTGTCAGGGTGGTAGTTGGTGCTGGAGAACCTGTCGCAAGACTTGGCTCCTTCTGGAAACTGGCAGATGATGAAGTAGGCTTGGAGAAAATTCCGATGCTTCATGACTGCTTATTGACTGCTTCATTTGTTCATTGGCCTTCGCTGCATACGGTGACTCACACTCTACAATGTTCTACATACTTTTACATGATATGTGCACTCCATCGCTTTGCAGCCTTGCCAGCCACAGAGAGCTCCGTATTACCAGTAGTACCGCGCAAGGTGGTGGCGGAAGTTTCAAAAATAGGAAACCTATAGGAGAGGTTGGTAATTGTGAATCACGGATGGCAGAGCGAATCCACTGATGGACCGAAAGGTGGTTGAAGTTGTTTTTGGGAGTGGTTGCAATGGTTGCAGTGGTCACCTCACCCACAACTGCTGGATGTAGTGTGGTGTACTGGGTTCAGTTGTAGTGTGGTGTAGTGGAGTTGTAGCTGTAATGTGTAAGAAGTGTAGTGTAGTTTTAGTTGTAGTTGTAGTTGTGGTGTGGTGTAATTATTGTATTCTGTATTGTAGTGTGCTAAATGGCTACGGCTCAAGCGTTTACTGGGCTCGAGCCACAATTTCAGGAGGGTAGATAAAATATATCCAGTTTCTCCCATGAGCTCCCCCATCGATATTGACGCTGAAGAAGAAGAGAGACAACAACAAAGCCCGACAATGCAACTGGGATCCCCTCCACAGAAGAAGTACTGAGGCGGTGAATTGGAAATAAGCAACCCTTTTGAAGCACTAGCAGACACCCGCACAAGCCCAGATGAGACAAACACCCACCACCTTGTTCAAATGACCCACGCTCTCATGCAGAAGATGGAGCACAACCTGGTTCAAAAGCTCGACCTGATCCAGGCACAACAGAAGACCATCTCGGACACAGTTGACTCCCGCTCTGCCCAGTTAGCCACCAACTCATTGGAACTCACGTCCATTCAGTCCCGCCTGCAAGCCCTTGAGAGTACCCATAATGCCTCATCAGGCGCCGAGCCATCCCAGATCACCAAGCTCCAGCTTGAAGTTACCAGCCTCGCCCAGCAGGTCCAAGACATCACGCGTCAGCGCACACCATCAGCACCACCACCAATCATAAACCCACCCAATCGCAGTGAAGCGCCCAGGGCGGCCACCTTGTCTCCACACCGCTCACGAGCCGGCACCATTACCCCACAGATGGCCATGGACTTGGAGGTGGATTGGAACAGACTAATCATTGGTGGATGGCACCTCGACACCAGACGGGAAAAGGTTGAGGCCGAAGCCCGGGACCTCATCACGAAGCTTGGCATCCAAGAGTCAGTCACAGATGTGATCGTGTATGGCCGCAGGGCCTCTGCTTGCCATTTGATCCTGACCCCCCAGCCAGCAACAGAAGCAAAACGCCGCATGATCGCATGGCAGACACAACACAAGGACCAACACACAATACCCAGTTCTGGCAAGGCTACTTGGATGACCCCACACAAGAGCGCCCAAAAACGACTGAAGAACCGTGCCACCAAGTATGCAGCCAACCTCCTTCGACCCATCCTCGACCCCGCCAGCCTTGAACACCTTGACATAGACTGGAACAAGCAAATCCTTTGGTATCGGGACATGCGAGTCATCGCCTTCAGCAAATCTGATCTCCTCCTTCCATCTGGCTCTGGCAGACCTGTGCATGAAGCCCAGTACGTCGACCCCCGCAGTCAAGATGAACTGCCATTCTTTGTAGACCTCACCAGGTTGTCCAAACTCACCGGCAAAGAAATTCCGGCGCTCCAGCGCGCCTTGGGCGACCCCAAACCTGAGTGACTCGCCAGCCCACCTGGCCACCAGCATGCTCCTGCAGCACAACACCAGCGATGTCCTTCAGCGGTTCGGCCTGTGCAAATCCTACAGCTTGCCTCGTGGAATGTCTGGGGGAAATCCTTGTTTCAAATTGCTGATGTGTTGTCAGACCAGGGAATTCACTTTGACATAATCGCTCTGCAAGAAGTCGGTGGCCTCTCCCAAGGAAAGCTTACCACCGATGGCTTCTTGGCTGCCGATGACCCCAATGTGCAGCTGCACGTTGAGTTGCGCGACTACTGGATTGTAGCCACTGACCAACTCAGCAGCCACCATGGCCAAGCCATTCTGGTGGACAAAACTTTTGCCACTGCCGTGCTCCACACCCTTAAGGGGACGAGGTTCCTCGGCGCCCAAATTCTCCACAAAAGCGGGCTTAGACTTTGGGTGTTCTCCGGCCACTTGCCACACCACCACCAACCACTATCCGACTACAGTGCTGCCACCACTGAATTGCGGCAGTTGCTCCAGCGAACCCAGCACCTTCCAACCTTAGTAGTGGGCGATTGGAATGCCACTCCTCACCGGGAACCCATGGATGAGCAGGCCCTCGCACTCGCCTGTCTCGAAGCCGAAGCACGGCTCATGTTTCGCCTTCCTGAGCAGCCCACCTGGAAACACAGAGTGTACGACTTCGTCGGCTTCACCCCCGCCTTCGAGCGCTGCATTGCTCCTTCCTGCCTGCCAACCTCCCCTCTTATTGTCGAAGGCATGGACAGCCTCCTACCTTCTGACCGCAAACTGATCACCTGGGAAACCACTTTCTTCCAACCTCCCCAACGGCAAGGCTACCGTCACAAGCAGCACACTGGCCGCTGGCAAGTTGACCTGCAGCGCCTCCAACGCAGCCTTGAGCACCAATCCGCCACACCTGACTGGCCACAACTCTGCCGCCTTGCCCGCCAGTGTCAATATCGTCTCCCCAGTCGGAAATTCCAAGATTCTCCAGCTCTTAAGGAATTGTGCCGTGCCCGCAACGCCACTGCCAATGCTCTTCAACGTGCATCCCTGTTGCGCCACATCATTGCGACTCGACGTGCTGAACGGGCTCAATGGCTCTCTGAGCTGCAAACCTCAGCCTCCTCAGGTGATACCTCGGCAATCGCTTTCCTCAAGGCGAAGCACCAGCCAACCGCCAATTGGAGCCACCTCATAGCACATTCCGGCAGCCTACAGGGAGCAATACACAACGTAAAAAACCACTTCCAAGAAGTCTTCAGCAGCACCCCCATTCCCACCCGGACAGCCGACTGCTCCCATCACATCGAAGCCCTACAAGCACACATGGACCAAACCGAGCCAACACCCCTCCAACCTGAAGAACTTAGCCTTGCCCTTGCAAACCTGAAGCTTGGGAAGACATCCGGGGCAAGTGGCATGTCAAATGAGTTCCTCCTGGCAATGGGAAGCACCGCCACAGGGCACAGCATGCTTCTCAACTTGTTGAATGCAATGCTCATCGATGGTGACATCCCGCCTCCCCTTCTCACAGGCATTGCGTGCTTGCTGCCAGAGACTCCGGGTGCCACCGCTGCATCCCAGATTCGTCCCATACTTCTCCTTGAAGTTTTGCAGAAGCTTTTCGCGAGCATTCTGATGCGACGTATCCATTCCCACTGGCCACCCCTCCATGTCCAAGTTGGGGCAGTTTCAGGTGGCCAACCCATTGAGGCTCTGTTCGCCGCCCATCACATGATTGCCTTGGCCAATGTCACGGACAAGACCCCTCTTTTCCTCAAGCTCGACATCAAGGGCGCTTTCGACAATCTTCGGCATGCAAGTGTAGCTAACTTCTTGGCCACCCTCCCACCCCAAGTATCGCATGAAGCCATGCGCCTGATGCAGCTCCTCCTGGATCAGACAATCCAATTTTCTTTCCTTGATGCTCATTGGGAAACGCACAGCTCCAACGGCACACCGCAAGGAGGAAGCCATTCCGCTGGGCTTTTTGCCCGCACACTCGACCACGCCATCGGAAACTTGCTGCAACAATGGGAAGCTCAGGGTCATGTGCCTCTGTTTCCCCCACTCTGGTTGCTCCTCTTTGTGGACGACATCCTCATGTGCTTCAGCAGTTGGACGCAAGCACTCCGGCTATTGCCTTCCTTTGTGGACTGTCTTGCTCAACTTGGCTTGCACATCAATCCCGCCAAAAGCTGTCTGGTTGTGAGCCCGGGTCTGAGAGCTTCTTCCCCGCCACGTCACCAGCTAGGCATCTTGCACCAATTTCCATGGGTGGAACACACAACCTACCTACGCAAACCCTTCGGATACAACGTGGACCCTGACGCTTTGCCCCATCAGAGCCATCCAGTTGATTCATGCGGCATTGGGCAGATTCCGGCCAGTTCTCAAGCGATGCCACTGGCGACATCCTGCAACAACTTGCAAGATGCTTGACCAGTATGTTGGGAATGCCTTTCTCTGGTTGTCCCCTGTCCTGTACCCGCACCAGATCTTTCGAACCAAAGTGAGCAGAGTACAGACCACGCTGATGATTGAAGCCCTAAATCTCTACGTCCCGGTCCTGACAGATGACGAGGCTCTTCACAACCTTTTGCGCCTTCGCCGACATCTTGTGAAGAGATGGATTCTGCAAATGGCACCCTCAGGAAGTTGGGAGATACAATATCTCCGCCGATATTGGTCCTTTCTGGGGCACATTTGCCGACAAGAGTTTCAGAGCAATCGCCCAGCCAAAGTGATGTTGCATCATCTCATTGCACAACATTCACACAAGCTAAATCGCCCAGGTCCTTGGAACACACCTCACAGTCTGGTAAGGAAGTTTTGGTATGCCATGGAACTCGAGGGGGACTACATCCATGTTGCTACTGATCGTGATGTTTGGAAGTCTTTATCTGAAAGTTTTTTACAATGGCATGGGTTTACAAGGACCCAAAACAATGTAGAAATGCTTGAGCAAAACCCGTGAGACAAGCCAAAACGCCTCCTCCACATACCCGTTGCTTGGATTCACCTGGTGTTCGTTGGTATACTGGCTGGGGTTTTCACTGCGGTATGGCTGGATACAGTTGCCGGGTTTTCAGTTTGGGCAGACAGTGAACCACTGCAAGGATATGAAGCCAATATTACCAGAGGCTTCCGAGGGTTATGCTACCATTTGAATATGCTTGGTGGGCCTTTCCTCCTGCAAATCGCTGTACCAAATGCCGCAGTGTGGAGAGCCATACAAAACCACGCAACTCCAATACAGCAGACATTGCAACAATCCAACCATGCATCGTGGTACCAATTGTTTCCGCTGACAGCGAGTGAGCGCCAACACCGTACTCTCCGACATTGTCTCACATACGTGACATAATTTTGGATACTATATAGACAACCATTTTAACATCATGCAACCTTTGCAGCTATTGCCCAGAGCGAACGTGCTGGGCTGGCTGTTGGGGCAAACCCTCTGAGAAGCCCCGGCAAAAAAAAATGTAGTGTACTGTAGTGTTGTGCACTGTAGTGTGGTATAGTGTAGTGTAGTCTAGCGTAGTGTAACGTAAGGTAGCGTAGTTGTAGTTGTAGTGAAGTGTAGTGTAGAGTAATTAGTGCAGTGTCGAGAAGTGCAATGTAGTGAAAGTTACAATTGTAGTTGCAGCTGCAGTTGTAGTTGTAGCTGTAGCGTAATGTAATGTAATTAGTGTAGTGTAGCTTTTGTTGTGTAATGTAGTGCAGTTGTAGTTGCATTTGTATTTGTAGCGTAGCGTGCTTGCAGCGTAATTGGTGCAGTGTAGTGTAATGTGGTGTAGTTGATATTGTTGGTGTAGCTGATATTGTTGGTGTAGCTGTGGTAGTAGTAGCTTTATGAAAAACTTGCAGCCACAGACTGGGCCAGGTCAAAATATTTTTTTTTCATTTTTTTATCGTTTTGGTTATCATTTTATTTATCTTTTTTTCATTTATGTTTTCATTCTTTTTTTTTATCATTTTATTTTTCATTTTTTTATCATTTTTTATATTTTTTTTTATCATTTTATTTTTCATTTTTTTATCATTTTTTTATCTTTTTTTTTAAAAATCATTTTTTCTTCCAGCGGTGCAAAAAAAAATCCCAAAAATGGAAAATTGCAATTTTCCTCGTTTTTTTCATTTTTTTATCATTTTTTTATCATTTTTGCTTCCGGTGGTGGAATTGATGAAAAATGATAAAAAATGATGAAAAATGATAAAAAAATGAAAACAAATGAAAAAAAATGAAAAAAAAATGAAAAAAATGAAAAAAACCCGAGGAAAATTGCAATTTTTCATTTTTTGGAAAATTGCAATTTTCCTCGAGTTTTTTTTTTCATTTTTTTATCATTTTTTTATCATTTTTCTATCATTTTTCATCATTTTTCATCAATTCCACCACTGGAAGCAAAAATGATTAAAAAAATGATTAAAAAAATGATAAAAAAATGAAAAAAACTCGAGGAAAATTGCAATTTTTTATTTTTCGGATAATTTTTGCACCATTGGAAGCAAAAATGATGAAACATGATTAAACAATGATAAAAAAATGATAAAAAAATGAAAAAAATGAAAAAATGATAAAAAATGAAAAAAACCCTAGGAAAATTGCAATTTTTCATTTTTTGGAAAATTGCAATTTTCCTCGAGTTTTTTTTCATTTTTTTTCATTTTTTTTTCATGTTTTTTTTCATTTTTTTTTTCATTTTTCATCATTTTTCATCATTTTTCATCAATTCCACCACTGGAAGCAAAAATGATAAAAAAAATGATAAAACAATGATAAAAAAATGAAAAAACTCGAGGAAAATTGCAATTTTTTATTTTTCGGAAAATTTTGGCACCATTGGAAGCAAAAATGATAAAAAAATGACAAAAAAAATGAAAAAAAATAAAAAAACATGAAAAAACATGAAAAAAACTCGAGGAAAATTGCAATTTTTCATTTTTTGGAAAATTGCAATTTTCCTCGTTTTTTTTTTCATTTTTTTTTCATTTTTTTTCATGTTTTTTTTCATTTTTTTATCATTTTTCTATCATTTTTCATCATTTTTCATCAATTCCACCACTGGAAGCAAAAATGATAAAAAAAATGATTTAAAAAATGATAAAAAAATGAAAAAAACTCGAGGAAAATTGCAATTTTTTATTTTTCGGATAATTTTTGCACCATTGGAAGCAAAAATGATAAAAAAAAGATAAAAAAAATGAAAAAAAATGAAAAAAACATGAAAAAAAATTAAAAAAACATGAAAAAAATGAAAAAATGAAAAATAAAATGATTAAAAAAATGATAAAAAATGAAAAATAAAATGATTAAAAAAAATGAATGAAAACATAAATGAAAAAAAAGATAAATAAAATGATAACCAAAACGATAAAAAAATAAAAAAAAAATATTTTAACAATTTCCAATGTGTAGCTGGCTCGGTTTTTCATAATAGTAGCTGTTGTAGTTGTAGCTGTAGAGTAATTAGTGTAGTGTAATTAGATGCATTCATGTAGTGTAGTGTAATTAGTGTAGTGTAATGTAATTAGCGTAGTTTATTTGTACTTGTAGTTGTTGTAGTAGTGTAGTGTAGTGTAGTGGTAGTTGTAGTTATCTACCTATCTATCTATCTATCCATCCATCCATCCATCCATCTATCTATCTATCTATCTGCCTATCTGCAATCTGCAAGCTTGAAAACGAAGCAATCCTGCGAGACTTCCGCAACTTTTGAACTTGATAATGTCAAAAAGGAAGCAATTCTGCGAGACTTCCTCAATGTTTTGACGTTGGCAACATCAAAAACGAAGCAATTCTGCGAGACTTACTGAATTTTTGAGGATGAGGATGGCAACATCAAAAACGAAGCAATTCTGGGAGACTTCCTCCCAACATCTCTGATGAACATGTTTCTTGTACCGCGCCTGCCACGGAAAATGCGATCCTCTTCAAATATATATTTCAAATGTCCCACGCCTGCCATCGTTTTTTGGAAATGCTACAAAACCCTCACGTTTTTTCACTTTTGACAAGGTGCACAATCCCTTGCGCCTGCCACAGAAAACGACGCTTCAACGTCCAAAAGTGGCGGGAACATGTGGTGCTTTGTACATTTTGACTTCGAAATGTGCTTCGCGCCACGACGGCGTACGGTGTATTTAGATTGTTTTTAGCTTTTTCACTTTCAAATGTGCTTCGCGCCGCAATGGCGTGCGCTTTTTCGACATCGCAACTTCTAAACGTGCTCCGAAGCCCCGAAGCTGAGGTGTTTTGTGCATTTGACTTCCAAATGTGCTTCGCGCCACAACAGCGTGCACTTTTTCGAGATCACAACTTCCAACTTCCAAAAGTGGTCCGATGTTGGTGTGTTTTGTGCATTTTGACTTGGAAATGTGCTTCACGCCACGACGGCGTGCAACTTTATAACTTTCATCTCTCATCTGACCACATGGCTCCGCACCCGCCGCTTTAGCGAGCCTACTTTTCGACCTTTCGGAGCCACAAATCATTGGAAAAACACAGTGTTTCGCGACTTTCCTACCTTTTCGCGCACCTGCACCTTATTTCTTCTGACTCTTTCTTCTTCTCTTCTCTTCTCTTCTCTTCTCTTCTCTCTTCTTTCTTCTTCTCTTCTCTTCTCTTCTCTTCTCTTCTCTTCTCTTCTCTTCTCTTCTCTTCCTCTTCTCTTCCTCTTCTCTTCTCTTCCTCTTCTCTCCTCTCCTCTCCTCTCCTCTCCTCTCCTCTCCTCTGCTCTCCTCTCCTCTTCTCTTCTCTTCTCTTCTCTTCTCTTCTCATCCCTGCCTTTCATCTGCCCATAGTGTCGGAAGTTTGGCTTCTAAACTTCCTTTGATTATGACCAAGTGAGCGACATCAAAAACTTCCATGAAGGGATTTAGTATTCGGGCTCATATGGGGAACCCCCCGCGAAAGCAAAACGTCCACGCGCGAAAGCTCCGCGAAAGGAGTGCGTCAAGGTCGAGCCGCGAAAGCAGCGGCGAAAGCAAGCAGAAAGTAGAAGCGCATTCAAATATTCATGTGCACCATCATTTACGATCATTTATGGACAATTTTCCGCGAAAGATATTACGAAACACATGTCGCCGCGAAAGCCAAAACTGTGCGCGCGAAAGAACCGCGAAAGCCGTCGCGAAAACTTAAAAACATTAGAACCTAATCGCTACCCGGTTTTCGACGCCGCTCAAATGTGTTTTTTCTGTGTAGGTTCACTCCTAGTCCTCGAGCGTGCTAGAGTGCACTGATTGGAAGAAACCGCCCCACTGCAAGTGACTGCAAGTATCTAGAAAATGGTACTAACAGTCAGTTTAACCTTCACAATCTCTCCATTGAGTTTCCATCAGTGACCCAGCTCAGCCTATATTTTGGGGCCCGCCCTTGACTTCTCTTGTTGAAATCACCTTTGTCACCGAAAGCGGCGTGGCATCGCGTGGCAGAAAACATTGAAGAAACTTTTCCGCACGGTGCATCTCTGCCATCATTTTTCTTTCACCCTTGACTTATTTCTTCTTAGTTCTCCAGCTTGTAGTTTCATCACCTTCCCTTCATTTTCATTGTTCGGATGTTCTGCATTCTTGGCGCCCCAGAGTGCAGAGAGATGTTTTTGAAACAGTTTCTGTGCTGCATTCTGCCATTAGGCGCAGTGTTCTGCGCACCTGCGTACGGTTCTACTTTGTTCATAGTGCTGGTCCTGTTCTCGATTCTACGGCAAACATTGTCAAACTGTCGTGCTGTCCCAGTGTTGGATGTGGGTGGTCAGGCAGGGTGAGGCCATGCTAAGCGCTAAGAAGCGATATGAAGCGCCCCGGTTCTCTCCTCGTTAAGCGATCCTGCTGCTCAAGCTGGGCCACCCTGGCGACCTGACCCAGTCATGAACTCGAAAAAGACAACGTAGACTACATGTAGACTACATGTAGACTACATGTAGACTGCATGTAGATTCGTTATCCCTTGTACTGTCCCTTTTAGGTGCCTCTGCTCCAGGAAAGAGGCTATATCATGGCCTCCAGTCTGTAGTTACCGCATGTTTTAGCTTGCTGTAGCTGCTATAGTTTAAAATCGGTGGATGCTATTCCAATTTAATCTAATATCACTGCCATTTGGTGTGGGCGGGCCCTCAGACATGGACAAGAACACAGCTACACTGCAGCAGGCCCTGCTTGTGGCTGGGGCAGTGCGAAGTTTCCAGCTCGTGAGGGGGAGGCCCAGCTGCCAAACCCATGGTGCTGGATGGTGCTGGGTTGAAAGGTTTGCGTTGCCTTTTGGACATTTTTGGACAAGCTGCTTGGCACATCTTGGCACTTGATATGTTCAGCTCCTTCAGCAAAACTGGTCTATGTCAAACTGGCAGGCAAAGTCCGTTGCAGTGCCCATTCAATCATCAGCCTTTGTTTTCGAGCGCCTGACCTTTGCCTCGCAAAGTCTGGCATCGGCCAAGTTGAAAGGCAGGTCACAGTTCAAAAATGTCACACTTTCAATTAAAATGGGCTAACGCCCTGGTGCCGCCGACCCCGTTTCAAGGGTGGAGGAAGAAGTGCGCAGACATAGAGCCACTCAAGAAGCCCAGCAAACGGCTAGGCCTAAACATTGTTAAACATACGTATGTATATATATATAGTACATTACATGCATTCCATTCGCAAAAGTGGAATGATGATAGAAATTGGGGAATACTCATGACGTCATTGTGGCGACGCCACCAGGATGAAAGACTGTGAAACACCCCAAGACATCCAAGACCTTCTAATGCGCATGTCTCCTGTTGAGATCGCTGCAGCTACGCAGGCTTTATTTGTGCGAAAGGTTGCTAGGGACTGTCTTGATAGCCCACAGTCTTGCAGGATGAAGCTTGCCAAGGCAACGTTTTAAGGGTTTTACGGTTTTTAAGGGTTTGGAGGGTTTTAAGGGTTTGGAGGGTTTGGAGCGTTTGGAGGGTTTTAGGGCTGGCAAAGGGCAGACTTGGACGCCCATAAGAAGCCATTGATGTGTGGCCCTGGGGTGCCGGTTAGCTGCAAGAGTGGCCATAAGAAGCCATTGATGTGTGGCGCGGGGTGGCTGTTGGTTGCAGGATGAAGCATGCCAAGTCAACGTTTTAAGGGTTTTACGGTTTTTAAGGGTTTGGAGGGTTTTAAGGGTTTGGAGGGTTTGGAGCGTTTGGAGGGTTTTAGGGCTGGCAAAGGGCAGACTTGGACGCCCATAAGAAGCCATTGATGTGTGGCCCTGGGGTGCATTTTGGCTGGGGTGCCTGTTGCCTGCAAGAGTGGCCATAAGAACCGGATGGCTGCAAGAGTGGCCATAAGAAGCCATTGATGTGTGGCGCGGGGTGGCTGTTGGCTGCAGGATGAAGCATGCCAAGTCAACGTTTTAAGGGTTTTACGGTTTTTAAGGGTTTGGACGGTTTTAAGGGTTTGGAGGGTTTGGAGCGTTTTAAGGGGTGTGGCGCGGGGTGGCTGTTGGCTGCAGGATGAAGCATGCCAAGTCAACGTTTTAAGGGTTTTACGGTTTTGAAGGGTTTGGAGGGTTTTAGGGCTGGCAAACGGCAGACTTGGACGCCCATAAGAAGCCATTGATGTGTGGCCCTGGGGTGCCGGTTGGCTGCAAGAGTGGCCATAAGAAGCCATTGATGTGTGGCGCGGGGCTGTTGGTTGCAGGATGATGCATGCCAAGTCAACGTTTTAAGGGTTTTACGGTTTTTAAGGGTTTGGAGGGTTTTAAGGGTTTGGAGGGTTTGGAGCGTTTTAAGGGTTTGGAGGGTTTTAGGGCTGGCAAACGGCAGACTTGGACGCCCATAAGAAGCCATTGATGTGTGGCCCTGGGGTGCCGGTTAGCGGCAAGAGTGGCCAAAAGAAGCCATTGATGTGTGGCGCGGGGTGGCTGTTGGTTGCAGGATGAAGCATGCCAAGTCAACGTTTTAATAAGGGTTTTACGGTTTTTAAGGGTTTGGAGGGTTTTAAGGGTTTGGAGGGTTTGGAGCGTTTTAAGGGTTTGGAGGGTTTTAGGGCTGGCAAACGGCAGACTTGGACGCCCATAAGAAGCCATTGATGTGTGGCCCTGGGGTGCCGGTTGGCTGCAAGAGTGGCCATAAGAAGCCATTGCTGTGTGGCGCGGGGTGGCTGTTGGCTGCAGGATGAAGCATGCCAAGTCAACGTTTTAAGGGTTTTACGGTTTTTAAGGGTTTGGAGGGTTTTAAGGGTTTGGAGGGGTTGGAGCGTTTTAAGGGTTTGGAGGGTTTTAGGGCTGGCAAACGGCAGACTTGGACGCCCATAAGAAGCCATTGATGTGTGGCCCTGGGGTGCCGGTTAGCTGCAAGAGTGGCCAGAAGAAGCCGTTGATGTGTGGCGCGGGGTGGCTGTTGGTT